ACCCAATAGAAAATATTTTGATTTTATTGTATTTTTGGTTTAATTTTTTTTCAAAAAGTCAAAAAAAAAAAGTCATAGTTAAAAAAAAAAAAAAGGAAAGTTTGAACAAAAACGGGTGAAGATTATTTTGGGAGATTCTTGGGACTTAATCACAGAATCAATTCACAAGAAAATAAAATTAAATCAAATCAAATCACATTAAAATACAAATTTGGTTGAGTTTTTTTTTTCTAGATTAAAAAAGGTTGAATCCTTATAAAGAGGCATACACAGAAAGTGAATAAAAGAAAAGGTAGAAAAAAGTAAAACAATCAAAGGGTTTTGGGTTTTTGGTGTCTTGAAATCAATTTTGGAAGTTTAATTTCTTAGGGTTTGATTTTAGGTCTTGTTTGGAATTTTTTTAGATTAATTTGTTTCTGGGTGTGGTTCTATTATGGAATTTGAGTTTTGAAGAACTTGGATCTTGATTTTCTAAATTTCGATTTGGTCGTTAAAGTGAAATTTTAAATTTGGGTCTTGGTTTAATTTTGGATTTTGAGGTGTTCTGGGTTTAGTTTGATTTTTTTGGTGGGTTTCACGATGATCAGAGAATTTTGACGATGGTTTCTAGGTTATTTCTTCGTTGGTTTGAATATTTTGACTGCTGTTTGAAGTTTTCAATGCCGAAATTTAGAATTTAGTTGGCCGATTAAGTTTTTTGTTTGAAAGTCTAAAGAAAAGGTGGAGAGAATTCCTTTTAGAGCGAAAAAAAAAAGAAAAACCTTTTGAAAAAAAGACCAGTTTTTTTGTTTTTATACACCAGTGAAATGACGCCATTTTGGATAAGCTCTAACCCACATGTGAATTCGACTACCCGTGTGTTGACCTGCATTCCAAACCCTATCCGATCCGATCCCAATTTTTTCTTTTTTTGTTTATTTTCTGCTATGAAATTTTTTTGTTTGACTTTTATTTTCTTATTTTATTTTTTTGTTTTGTTTTTTATATAATATTTTTATATTTTCATTTTAATATTTATTATGATTTTTTGAATTAATTTGGTAAGAAAAGAAAGAGAAAAAATAGTTTATTTTTGCATGATGTTTTTATGATTTTTTTTTGTACTTATTTTTGTGTGAGTTTAATATATTTGCATGATTTTTTTGTTATATCTAATTGCATGTTTTCATATTTATTGTATGATCTATTAAATATATTTTACATAATTGCATGATTATATTTAATTTATGATAATTAATATTATTGCATAATAGTTTATTATTAGTGCATGATATATTATATTATTATTACATTATAATTTTTGTTTATTTTAATTGATTTTTTTCTTTCAAATTTAAAAAAAGGGTTTTCAAAAAAAATATTTTTTAATCCTACCAAACTATTGGAGAATTTAAATATTGAATCAAGTCTTACCAAACTATTAGAGGACTTAATGAATTTTCTTGAAAAAATATTTTTTAAAATCCTACAAACATATTAGAGAATAATTTTTGACAAAAAATCTTATCAACATATTAGAAGATACTTTTAAAAATAAATTATTTTCATAAAAAAATAAAATTTCAATCCTACCAACATATTGGAGGATAATTTTCGACAGAAAATCTTACTAATATATTGAAAGATATTTCTAATAATAGAATTAAGTCTTACCAAACTATTAGAGGACTTAATGAATTTTCTTAAAAAAATATTTTTTAAAATCCTACAAACATATTAGAGAATAATTTTTGACAAAAAATCTTATCAACATATTAGAAGATACTTTTAAAAATAAATTATTTTCATAAACAAATAAAATTTCAATCCTACCAACATATTAGAGGATAATTTTCGACAAAAAATCTTACTAATATATTGAAAGATATTTCTGATAATAGACCATGTTTATAGAAATTCATAACCATAAGCAAAATTAAATGAATTCGACAATGGAGCTTCTTCAATACAAAACACTAGTTTCCATAAATACTCATGAGATAAAAAAATTATCTTAAATTACTACCAAATTATTAGAGTAATTTTATAATCAATTTTCAATAATTAATTATTTGATAAAATTATAAAAATATTTTAAGGTTTGATAACTTAAAATCAAACTACTACTACTACTACTACTACTACTATTATTATTATTATTATTATTATTATTATTATTATTGCTACTATAAAAGATGCAAAAGAAAATGAGTTTTTCTTAATTATTGCGTAAAAAGAGAAAATGTTTGCTCTATCACAAGTTGCCATAATGTTCAAAGAAAAGTTTTTAATTAATTAAAGAATTTTTAAATGATAAATTATTTATTATCATGTGAAATAATGATGTCAATAATTAATTTTATAATTCATTAAATATTTCATTTGACAATTAAAAAAAATACACTTGATCTGATCAATCAAAACTAAATATTCATAATGTGACTAATCAAAATTTATCTAAAGTCCGTCTAATTTATCTCTTAATGAAATTAAAATTTTTGATATAAATTTAAATTTTGACCAATCAAATTTCAAAGATTTATGAATCATTCAATCAAATTTCACTCATAATTCAATAGTCTTTATCTTTAATTAAACTGTAATTATTTAGAGATAAAATCAAAGATGTTGAATTCTTTTGAAACTCTCTCACCTAGCATCACCGATACTATAAATAGAGAGCTCATCATACCATTTGACAATTCTCTAGGGAAAGTTAAAAGTTTGCTAGTAAAGAGAATGCCAAAGCTCTTATAGCTCTAAGAATGAAGATCTGAAGATTAAAAAGATAATTGTTGGAGAATGAACATCTAAAGATAAAAAAGATAATTCTTGAAGAATGAAGATCTAAAAAATCAAAGTCTTCAAAGCTCATACAAACTCAAGATGGAAGATTTAAAGAACAAAGTCTCTAAAATTTCAATAAACAAATCCAAGAAGAAAGATTTGAAGATCAAAACCCCAATATCCAAAAACTCTTAGATGGGAACGGAGTCCTTAGAAGGGAGCCAAATCTAAGAATTTTTAGATGGGAATGAAGTCCTTCGACAGGAACTAAGATCAAAGAATCTCTAAATGGGTATTAAATCCTTGACAAGGACTAAGATTAAAGAAGAACAAAGTCTCTAGAATTTTGACGAACAAATTCAAGAAGGAAGATTTGAAGCTCAAAGCCTCAATATCCAAAAATCCTTAGATAGGAACCAAGTCCCTAGATGGGAGCCAAGATCCAAGAATCTTTAGATGGGAACCAAGTCTTTCAACGGGAACCAAGATCAAAGAATCTCTAAATAAGAACCAAGTCTCTCGATAAGAACTAAAAATGAAAGAATCTCTAGATGGGAACCAAAATCCAAGAATCCCTAGATGAGAACCAAGATTCAAGAATCACTCAACGGAAACCGAGATCCAAGAATGGGGAGCAAATTCAAAGATCTTAAGAAAATTGTAAAACTTGAGTCCATACTTCTTCAATTCAAGAATAAGTTTCAAAAACCCTTGAATAAAGTCCAAACTTCTTCGATTCAAGAACAAGTTTCAAATACCTTTAAATAAAGTCCAAAATTTCTTCAATTCAAGAATAAATTATAAAAAATCTTTAAAGTTTGTATTTCTTCAATTTAAGAACAAGTCATTAAAGATCCTTGAAGCGAAGTCCAAATCTCTCTAATTCAAAAACAAGTCATAAAGAAACTTAAAATGAAGTTCATATTCCTTCCGTTCAAGAGCAAGTCATCAAGATCCTTGAAGTGAATCATATTTATTCAATACAAGATCAAATCTTTCAAACCCTTAAAGTGAATTTCTATTGAAAAAAGGAATCAAATGATTTTATTTTTCTTTTTGGTTTTAAGAATATACAAAGATTGTACTTTACAAATCTAATAAATAAAATTATTATTTATTTCTAATTTTTTCTAATCTTATTTTTAATGCGAAATTTGTGTGTACAAGCTACAAGTGATATTATTTCATTGAACAATATATTGTTTTGCAAAGCAGGAAGCATGAAAGCAAAATCCTCTTACCTTAGTCTCCAATCTTGATAAAACAAAACAATGCTACTATTTTTTTTTTTTTTGTTTCCAAACTAATTGAAGCGATGAATTCAAATATATGTATAGATTAGTAAAATGATGGATAGAAATAAAAGAAGTATAGAGTTGGGGATGAGAAGCTTTGGATAAATGAGAAAGGGAAGCAGGTGAGAGCTAAAACAAGTTGTTCAAGAAACAGAGAAATTGAAGACAACACTCCACCAACCCTCGGAAACTCTACCCTTTATTATTACCCAAATTGTCAAATCCAGTTGCCCTTCCTTCAACCCACATCTTCATCTTACATGTACATGCGCAATCGTCGTCCATGCTTCATTTATTCTTTCTTAACAAAGTATACAAGTAGTTTAATAAAAAAAAATAAAAATAAAAAACCCAATTATACAAGTAGTAGTTTGTAAACAAACAAATAAAGTAGCAAGTCTTTTAATAAGCTCATGTGTTTGTTTTTGGTACTTTTTTATATATACGATTAATTCTAAATACGATATAAAAAATTACGAAATTAATATGATTTATATGAATAATAATATAATAATTTTATATTTTATATAAAACAAAAAAAAATGATAGGAACTGTCATATCTATTTATTAATGATATGGTAAGTGCTTTTAGTAGTAGCAAAAATCAATTAGCAAAGCGAAGAAAGAGACGGTGAAACCGTAATTTAGTGGGAGTGTTTGTTGTAGGTTTAGAAAGGCCAATTTTGAATGTAAAAAAAGGCAAAAGAGAAAAAGGTTGGGTGGGGTGGGGAAGGCACAGCCGCTTCGTCGCATTGTTGTACTCAAAGCCACACAAATTAAGACGACTCTCTCTCTCTCTCTGCGCCTTCGCCCTTCCCCTGCCTTTTCTCCCCGAACTTAAGGACTCAATCAAACCAACAAATCCTCTCCACCCCCCCCCCCCCCGGCCTTCCCAAAAAAAAAAAATAGAAAAAGACAAATAAACTTCCGTTTTCTCATTAATTTTCTCAAAACAAACAGAGGTACCCCTCCCAAAAGAACAAAAAAGAAAAAAAAAAAAAAAACAGTCTCCTTTGGAAAAGGGGCTTTGCAAGATTCAATGCAAAAACGTCATCGAAATCCAATCAAACAATAAACGACGAAAAGGGTGATCGAATCAGAGGTAAGAAGAGATGTCGTGTTCTTCATCATCAGGGTCGGAGAAAGATGACGAGGGAATCGACTCTTACAGGAAAGGAGGATATCATGCCGTCAGGATCGGCGATCCCTTTGCTGCTGGGCGTTACATCGCACAGAGGAAGCTGGGATGGGGTCAGTTCTCCACTGTATGGCTCGCTTACGATACTCAATCCTCTGTAAGTCCATTTATTTCTCTGATTTCTTTACCATCATATTTATATACTAATATACATTCATACCCATCACTCATTGAATTGATGGGGTTTTCTTCAGCTTTGTGTATGATCTGGGTATTATTCATTTTGCACGATTTAATTTTGTTGATTCTGATTCTGACCCTTAATTGCTTAAGATCTTGGCTTTTTTATTCCATTTCGCCTTCTTTCGTATTCTTGTACTTATCACTTTTTCATACTTCCTCATGGATTCTTTCGGTTTAACCGTTACATATTCCGGGAACTATTCTGTTTTCGCTCTTTCCCTTTTAAGTAAGTTATATATATATATATATATATATATATATATATATATTTAGTTATTCGTTTCACTTCTTTCTCTTTTCTGGGATCGGCGATTATATGAAATACTATAATCAGGGTGAATAAACCTTGCAATAAAAAAGAAAAAACTGATATGAATATAACATCATAATTTGTTTATACGTTGGCAAAACCTTTGCTCTTGATGAAATATTTACTTCCTTGACAATTGATCCTCATGTTTGAGGATACATTTGTTGCGTAATCATGGCACAACAACAATAACATTTAATATGAAAAAAAAATAAATATTTAAAAGGGCGTCCCTTTGTTCATGATAAAAGCCTTGTGGTTTCCAACTACTGAATTTTGTTATATTTGCAATTACTAAATCACCCAAAAAAGTAGTAATGCTTTTATTCTCTTATTTCTCCAGAATTGATTTTTCTGGAGTAGCATGCACGTTTGTAATATCTAACCTTTTTCTATATCAGAAATATGTTGCTCTAAAGATTCAGAAAAGTGCACAACAATTTGCTCAAGCTGCTCTTCATGAGATTGAAATTCTTTCATCTATTGCCGAATGTGAACACTCAAATTCCAAGTGTGTGGTGCGCCTGATTGATCACTTTAAGCACACTGGCCCCAACGGGCAACATATTTGCATGGTCCTTGAATTTCTTGGTGATAGCTTACTTCGATTAATCAGGTTTAACCGTTACAAAGGGATTGAATTGAATAAAGTTAGAGAGATATGCAAATGCATTTTGGTAGGTCTGGATTACTTGCATAGGGAACTTGGTATAGTCCACACTGACCTAAAACCTGAAAATATTCTTCTCTTTTCCACCATTGATCCTGCCAAGGATCCGGTTAGATCTGGTCTTACTCCAATTCTTGAAAGGCCTGAGGGAGGCACCCTAAATGGTGGATCTACCATGAACATCATTGAGAAAAAATTGAAAAGGAGGGCAAGAAGAGCAGTTGCGAATATATCTGTTAGAAGAGCTTCAATGGGAGGAGAAGCACCAAAATCTGCAAGATGTCTAGATGGGATTGATGTGAGGTGCAAGGTTGTGGACTTTGGAAATGCTTGTTGGGCTGACAAACAATTTGCAGAAGAAATTCAAACGAGGCAGTATAGAGCTCCTGAGGTCATACTTCGTTCTGGGTATTCCTTTTCCGTTGATATGTGGTCATTTGCTTGTACTGCCTTTGAGCTCGCTACTGGTGACATGATGTTTGCCCCTAAAAGTGGACAAGGATTTAGTGATGATGAGGTAGGCCTGTATATGCATCATGCTTTTGAAATGTTTTTAGAGCACATGCTGACTGCCTTATCCTTGTCCTATTTTTGCATGGTATGTGTTTAGAAATAGAGTAGAGAAAAGGCAAACAACAAAAAGAAGACATTCTTGACGTGTTATATTTTATTGACATAATGCCTGGTCAGGATCATTTTTGTTCTTCACCTATTTTATTTAGGCATTCTACATGCATTGCAGCAATGAGGGTAGAGTTTTTAACCTCCTTCCCCTCAGTTCCTTCCAGTGTCATTTGCTTTCTTTTCTCCTGGTTGTCATGCCAGAAAGGCAATAAAAAAGATGTGCTGAGTAGAACACAGGCCTGCATTATAATAATCCTGTTGTTATAAGGCAAATCAAATTAATTATTTATATGAAATGTTTTATGTTCTAAGAAAGTTGCTTCTTAATGAGATTTAATAATTGTCTTTGATTAGCATGAATATGCCAACTATTTTCTTTATTTATTTATGGGTTGTTATTCTAGGGACAATAACATGGTAAATCAAAAGAGAAAAGTACCACGGGGAATTAACTTTTTTTACTGGGTTGTTTCCAGGATCACCTTGCTCTTATGATGGAACTTCTTGGAAAGATGCCTCGAAAGGTAAAATTATTTCTGTATTATTGTCCTCTCTTATTTCTAAAATTATTTTGATGCACATTTCTTTTTTATGCTTCTGCGAGCAGATTGCCATTGGAGGAGCCCGATCAAAGGATTTTTTTGACAGGCATGGGGATCTGAAGAGGATTCGGAGGCTGAAGTTCTGGCCACTTGATCGATTGTTGGTGGATAAATACAAATTCTCCGAGAGTGATGCTCATGAATTTGCTGAGTTTCTTTGTCCTATTCTCGATTTTTCACCAGAGAAGCGACCAACTGCCCAGCAGTGTCTGCAGCACCCATGGCTCAGTCTCAGCAGCTCAGATCAGAATGAGATGCATGGTCAGCCTAACGTGGATGTTGGAATGAGCAACCTTCAGATCTAAGGTGGGCAAGTGAAGAAGGGATTAAAGATTGCGGCACAGCCGCACCATTTTCTTGCCCCTCCCTCCACCTGTACAAGTATTCATTATGTTGGTTATTTTTCTTTTTTTTTTATAATTGGTTTGTGACATTTTAAATAAGATTTATTTTTTGATTAATGATTAACGAAATGTAAAGTAATAACTATTGTGAGGAAATGACATGGGCAAAAGGAGTTCAACTGCGATGACAGAAGCAGGCGTTACTTGTCTTATATAGGGAATCTCTTCAAATTTTTTTCAGTTAATGCTTACAAATCATGACTGATAGTAACACCATAATCAAGTAACGGTGATCCTGCTATTCTGCAGGGAAGTTTGATTAGCTTTGAATCACGTGCAATAGTTGAATCCTTTTTCTACCATTTTATGTTGTCATCATGCCGTTTAGAAAGATATATCTGGCAGTGGCTGAATGCTTTGTGTTTTTGGCTAAGTGGTGATTCTTGTACTAGTCAAATATTACTTGCTACGTACTAGTCAAATATTACTTGCTACCTAATACAAATCAAGAGACTGAAATAAAAGTATCGGCCTCAGCCATTGGCTAGATATAGGTGCCAAGAGCTATAAGAATACTGGGCTGCTGGCTGCCTACTGTCGCCTATTAAACTTGTGAGTTGTGAGTGCTTTTCAACATCTCTTTTGCAGAGCTCCTGTTCCTCCATTGGTTTAGCTGTCACTGGCGTTGTATTTGAAATCAAGGTACAAATAAAATATTTCGATTACTGAATAGATTGGAGGCTGCCACTATCAATTTGTACGACAGTTGGACTAATGTATGCTGATGAGGGCTGCGGCTGCAACTAACTTCGGGGAATTCAAGCGAGGTATCATCACATTCATATTCCTCTGGACGGCTGCCAAGCTCCTTGGAGCATTGGGCCTGGTTTTTAAAACTTGATGCTCTCGCTTCTGTAATAAAGGTTTTTGTTTTAGGATGCATTATGCTTCGTTTAGGCTGCGATTATCCTCATCACGCATTTGATTTGGTCAAGTGGTAGGTGGGACTGGTCCCGCTCATTTAACATCAACCAATTAACGGATAACCAAGAAATCAAATGCCTTGCCTTCTTTTCTAACAATTTTGTGCTAAAACCATTCTTCTGCCATCTGTTCTGGCGGCTCTGGGTTAAAATTAAGATTAGATTTGGATTGCGAGTAAAAGTCACAAACAGCCCTTTTTCTTTTCGTTTTTGGGTCCCTCAGATTTGCAGTAAAGGTTCAAGAACAAGACAACCCTTTCCAGCAGGGCAATCTAGTTTCTTGCACCCTATAGTTAGTAACAATATCAACCGTTTCCTTGCTCTGAACTGCACATGATCACAGGTGGTTCCTAAATATGAAACGTGAATGACAGTTTTCAAGCTTGGGTTTTTGTCCGATTTACTTCATTTATTTATCAGTGAACGTGGATCCTGATGCTGCATGTTTAATCCTCTTTCACCAAAAAATTAAAATAAAAAACTTATGGCCATAAAAATATCTTCCATATCAGTCTATAGCACTTCAGAATAAGGGGAAGGGCATTGCTTTTAATGGAGTCCCTCTTGAATCTTCTCAATTGGTTGCCTTCTCTTATTAGTAACTACAGAATTTCGTGCCAAAGCCAAAATGAAAATTGTAGTTCAAATGATTTCAAAATTCAGTTTCTTGGTAGAAATTGATAATTTAAAGATGTTCTTCACTTTGGATCCAGAAAATTTGCAGAGAACCTCCTGAACGCTAATTGACACCATCACTGATCAAAATTTTTTTGCTGAAATAGTAAAAAAAATTTACTTGAATTTTATTTGTTGATATCATTTCTTTCCTGATTAGTGACAATCGACAAAAATTATGAAAATTATTCCTAGAAAATACAATACAATACAATACAAAAGTGACATTGCAAATCAACCAAATTGCTCCAGCTGGAAGCATGTGCATAGATGACATGTAAAATCTCGAAAATTTAGAATTTAGCCAGCCCCTTAAGTTTGATAACAAGGTGTATCTGCTCTTCTTGTATTGGGATGGAAAAGTGTACCAAGACGGAGGCAGAGTCTCCTCCCATCCAAACTCGCATATATCATGGAGTTTATGCAGCGTACTCGACTATTAACATACCTACACCGATAATTGAAGGGCTACTTCTCTTTCTCTACCTATAGAGAACTTTTAAGCAAATATCATTCTGCAACTTTGTTAAAACTTAAAACACTTGATAATCGCAGAATGGCCTGAAGCAGAGTATTATGAATGCCATTAACGACAAGGCACTTCTATCTCTGAATAAAACCAATCACAAAAAAGAAGCACGACATTGCTACAGTCCAGCAAGTGTTGAATAAAGGAGAATAAAATAATGAATCAACTGCTGAAAAAAAACAATACCAAAGGCATTAAAGTTTTAGTACATCTAGGATCACCCCAGAAAGCAGGATGAATATGCAAAAAATTAACAAGGAACCATCTAAATTTATTGCATTCCTTTTTATCTCAACTTCAAATATTGCTGTCATTTTATACAGCAAGCACTATTAGTAAAGTGTAGGGGCAAGCAATTGAACATTCAAATATACATTCTGTCAATTCAACTTCCTTACAAAACCAAAGATGTGCCAAAAGATAAATGAAATAAAGTCATTTCTGTAAAAAGAGAATTGCGAATCCTAACTCAGCTATTAGCTTCTATCATTGAAGCCACCTGCTATAAGAACAGAACTGAACATTATGATTGCATGACTTAGTTTTGTTTGATACATGCAGGGGCCTTGAAATCCTGGCATTTCCACATAGGCGTACCTTCAATTGAAATAGCATCATCAGCAGAGGACTCCAGAGAAAACAAGGGCTTAACAGCAGCCGTTGGATTACCCATGTTCTTTTCCGTCAATGGAGAGCTCTTAGTAATCATCTCTTCCTTGGGATTCACTCGATCCCTATAGGAACAAATGCTTAAGGGCAACTTCTTTAGCTTCACTCTTCCCCTCTTTTTACCAGGAGAATACGCATCTTCACAAGCTTTTTCCTTTGAATTGCTTGAGTCCGCTCCACCACTATCCAATTCCGACTGCCCAGATTTTTTGTATTTGGCTCCCTTTGCCTCTGCTTTAACAGACTCCTTAATGGAATCATCAGAATCAATTTCGCCTTCTCTTGTACCTCCATTGCATATAGAAGAAGGGCTTCCTCCCAACACAATACCTGCGTTGGAAACCTTTGTTTTCTCAAGAGTTGCCAAGCTCTTAGGCCTTTTATGTTTATGACCTCTCCATTCAGATGTTGGTGAATTCTTTGAGATCCTTGGAGAACTGTTGATTGCCTGGTGCAATCTACGGGCTAACTCTTCATCCGTCCTAGAATTCTCAATCGGTTGGTGTTTTTTGTATAAAAGTTGAACTGGGACATGCTTCTTGAACTTATTCTTTTTTAGGTATCTATCCTTACTAACTGTGTCTTCAGAAAATGTTGCTACCATGTCCAAAGCACTCTTAGCTGCAGCAACAGCTTTAGCTGCAATTACAGCCTTCTCTTCTGCAGCAGCTCTGGCGGCCTCTGCAGCCTTAGCAGCAGCAATAGCCGCTACTCTCGAGCCCTCCAAAATCTCCTCAGGCGAAAGATTTGGGTTATTGTAATGGGAACTCAATAAATTATTAAGACGAGTATTAACATCACTTGAAGAAGTAGGAGGTGAGGTTGAAGGTGAAGGTGAAGGTGAAGGTGAAGGTGACGGAGGAGATGAGGAGGAAGAAACAACAGTTGGCTGATCTGAAGCACCATTTGCATTTGAAGCCTTTTTCTTAAATCCTGCTAGCAGGCGCTTCCGAGGAGGCAGAAGTACATCGGCATCCAAGTGATTGATGTCACAAATGTTAGCCTCCATTAAGTATTCCTTTTCCAATTTATTAAAATCTGAAACACCAATGCAGGAGTAATTCTCTACATGGATGGTGGCTGTAGATGAATAAGACACAACATTTATCTAAATGAAAAATTCTCTACATGGATAATCCAACCGCTCCAATTACATCCACTCTAAAACATCAATAATCATATATTCAGTGTTAAATGGTAAAAAAAAAAAAAAAAAAAAAAACCAAAGGAAAGTCTAAATTCTAAGGCAAAATAATAAATAATAAAATCTCAGAAAACCAAGCAACTTCAGAAAAACGTATAGATTTGAGAAGTAGTATAAATTCAAGCGATTTTAATAGATGAATCGGAAATGAAAGATGTTTCATTCGTTGAAAATGAAATAAAGAACGCAAATCTGGAAACCCTAACTACAGATTCTGTTGTATCATAATTTTCCGGTAAAACCAATGGATAGAAAGTCAAGAAAATGATGATCATGCAATGAAAATGAATACCCAAGTTGAAGAATTTGACGGAATAGATGGTATCATATCGGAAAACAATGAAAGCAACAAAGTTTAAGAGGAGAACGATGACAGCAATGGCAGAAAACATAAATTCGGGGATTGATAAGAGAGAATTATAGGAAAGCAAACGTAACGTGAAGCAATAATGCGAAGCAGAAGGTTTGATTGAATGAAAATATTTGATGTAATCTTGTAAATGAAAGCAGAGGGAATTAAAAAGGTTGGATTTTGATTCAATACCTGATCATTTATCCGGGCGTTGATTGGTGTGCCAGAGAAACAAAGAGTTTTCTTTTCCTTTTTTTGGATTGCAAAGGAAATTAGGGTTTTTTTTTTTTTGGTTTTTTTTATATAGGTATATTTTTGTGTTGGTTTTGAAGATGTGAGAAAGAGAGAGATAAAGGGTGGGGTGGGGAAGAAATCCAGAGTTGTGGAAGGAAAAAGCGTAAATTTCACCTCCACCTCTGTGATTTGTAAATTTTTCACATGTTCTTTTGTAAATTTTTTTTTCCCATAGTTCACTTCTACTACTAAAAAATTTAACGAAATTAAAAAATAATTTTATAGTTTTATTAATTCTGTTTGATTTTTAATGTTGTTACTTCTATTAATAACAGAAATGAATCATAAAATTATAAGTGAAAAAAAATTTTCATAAAAAATATAAAGACAAAACTTATTCTTCTTATTGCTATTTTTGTATTTTGTCCTCTACTCAAATTATTTTCAAACAACCTCATAATATAAAAAATTATAAAAATCAAAATTAAAATTTTAAATTTATTAAATATTAATTTTTAAAATAATTATATAAATTAATTAAATTAAATTTTTTATTTTATATTATTGCAAATCTGCTATCCTTAGACCTACTCATATTCCATGTTGATGCAGTGCTAACTACAGTGGACTTCATTATTCTTTAAACTCTTTTTCTTTTTTTTTTTTACCGCATCAACTTAAAATTATTTATGTATTCTCCAACAAATTAATTAGATTTATGAATGGATGGCATTGGCTGGCAAAACTTCAGATCTTCTATCCAAAGAAAAGATCATACCAATGTTGTAAAAAATGTCACGTAATTTGTTTCATGAATTTTTTTTTTTATCATTGATTGCGACAAGTGAATTTTTTAGTATTATAAATTGCGTGTTACACGTGTAGCAGCCCACAACCAAAGTGAAAGCTCCCCGCATGACTGATCCGAGTCATTACCCGCTAACCAATTGCCACCTCAACCCCCACCCCGGTCCTTTGGCTTAACACTTAACAACTTCACACGTCCCCCGCACGTTAGCATTCTCCTGTTCTGTCCTGTCCCGTCCCACCTTTTCCCATGGCTGCCGAGGCTGAGAAAGATACCGGCGATTTCCTGAACCATAAACCCTAACGACTTTTTAATAACTTCTCAGCTCAGTTAAGTAATCAAAATCAAATTAATGTAGCTTCTCTATGTTTGTTTTTCTCCGCAATCAAACAGGTTTCTTTTTGTCTTTCGAAACCTTATTTTTCCTTTTAGGATTCCTGAGGCACTCTTCTTCTTCTTCTTGTTGAATTTAAAGCGGAAAATTTTATAAAAAGTAGTAGAAAAAATTTTTAGGATTGGATTTGATGCGTAAATTTGAGTAGTAATCTGTCACATAATTAGGTTAGGGTAGTAATGGGGAGCATAAAGCCCTTGCCAGAGACTGTTCGTAGTAGGGTGCGTTCTGCCATTATATTATTTGACCTCACTAGAGTTGTGGAGGAGCTCATTTTCAACAGCCTGGATGCTGCTGCTTCTAAGGTCTTCATTTTCCACAACTAACTACTCATAAACAATCCACAAGTCTTTTTTTTTTTTTTTTTTGCCCTAAAACAAGGACTCCGTGTTAAGAGTGCTGGTTTCTTTATTGTTTCAGGTATCAGTCTTTGTAAGCGTCGGGAGCAGCTATGTTAAAGTGGTGGATGATGGTAACACTATCATGCCTTTCTTTGCTAAAACTTTCAACCATATACCACATCCATCCACATTGCATGCCTTAATTTGCCTTGCTTATATGCTTTCAGGATCTGGTATATCTCGGGATGGATTGGTGTCACTGGGAGAAAGATATGGTCAGCTACATAATAGACTTGTTCATTCGTCCTTTTATTTCCCGTATTTTCCCTGATGGATCTGAATTTGCTATTTCAAAAACTCACAATGCTTGCTTCCATTCTCATTTTGCATTGCCAGTAACATCAAAGCTTTATCATCTGGATGATTTGGATTCTGCCAGCCGGAGCTTTGGCTTTCGGGGAGAAGCTCTAGCTTCTATATCTGATGTAGCTCTGGTGGAAATAGTAACAAAAGCTTATGGAAAGCCAAATGGATACCGCAAGGTCATTAAGGTATCTACAGTTACTATGTTGTGATAAAATTTTTTTTTTTCTTTTTCGCTATTCATTTTGAGTTGGACTGCAATTCCTTGGTTCTTTTCTTTGCAGGGATCCAAGTGTTTGTATCTTGGAATTGATGATGATCGGAAAGACGTGGGTACAACAGGTAGGACATTCTTCTGGCCTCTGCCTCTGTGCGTTGTTACTTTACTAGAAGATCTATTCATTCCTTTTAATGTTGAAATCCCTCTGCGTGATGCGTGATAGAGAGATGTCTTCACCTTACTTTCTAAAAGCATTTGGTGTTTAGCCTGAAAAGAGCAGAAACAATTCTAGCTTTGAAGTTACAAAACAAATTAAAGATCAGTTAGGTAATCATAAGTATTACTAGATGACTCTGATATCTGATGGCTGCAAAAGCACTCAAAATCTCACCTATTTGAATTTGGCAAAATAGAGAATGGTAAAGCTTTCCAGTAGGTACTGTGATTTTCCCCTTTTTTAATTCCCCCCAAAGAAAATTAAAAGAAAAGGAAAAAAACAAGTCCTTTTTCTCCCTTCAAATTTTCTTTTCTTCATTGACTAATGACCTGATTCCATGCAGTTGTTGTGCGTGATTTATTTTACAACCAACCTGTTCGGAAGAAACATATGCAATCCAGGTTTGTCTTTTTAATGTCCATTTTATGGTTTCCTTCATAATTTTAGTATATTTTATGAAACTAGCTTTTGTTTGCACCTTGTGAAATGATTATTGTACACACATGTTCTACACTGAATTGATGTACCTTTGACTTGAATGCTGAATTTGAAGCCCTAAGAAGGTGTTACACTCTGTTAAAAAGTGTGTATTCCGAATTGCCCTTGTGCACCCCATGGTTTACTTCAATGTTATTGATATTGAAAGGTATGTTCTTGTCAAATTTCTTAGTTGGAGCTCTATGATTCCTATTCCTTTTCTGTTTTTAATTTTATTCATTTGTTGAATTAAGTGAGGATGAGCTTCTCAGTACACATCCTTCCTCTTCTCCTTTGTCACTTTTGATGAGTGGTTTTGGGATTGAGGACTCTTCCTGTCTGCAAAAGCTGAATGCCAATGATGGTTCCATCGAGCTTTCAGGCCTCATATCTAGTCCCAGTGGCAGTTTTGCTTTTAAGGTAGAATACTTTATTTTGATTAACTAAATAAGTATCTTCATAATTTTTATCTTATAGATCCATTTTTATGATATTCTGTTCTTTTCTGTCAGGCCTTTCAATATGTCTGTATCCACTGAATATCTGAGATCAATGATAGGTTAGTCAATATGAAGATATTGTATATCATAAATGAGGTTTTGGACCTTTACTATGTCAGATATCAATTCAAGGTTTGTCTGCAAGAGTCCCATTCATAAGTTGCTGAACAGCTTGGCTACTAGTTTTGAGTCTTTAGATCCAGAGAAGGCTAATAACTGGACCAAGAAAGGAAAAAGGAGTAGATCTCAAGTGTTTCCATCCTACATAGTGAATGTTACTTGCCCTCCATCTTTCTATGATTTAACTTTTGAACCATCAAAGACATATGTTGAATTCAAGGTAATATTTAGTCTAACTACGAACTGTGATTTAGTTTGCATTTGTATTTGTTTGTGTTGTAATACTAAAGGCATTTTGTTTTAAGGAGGAACCTTGTATGTCATCCAGTTCAAAATCATGTTTATTACAAACATTTGAAATCTACTTTAAGCCTTTTTCATGACATCAGAAACTGGGGATTGCATGTTTCTAGTGCCTAGAAGTAGGGGCAGAATACCCATACTGCTTTGTGTAATAGACGACAGGGTGTATGGTGATGAACTCTGCACTTAAATTACACATACTTTACCTTCTCTTTGGGCATACTCTACGCTTTCAATTGTTGTAGGATTGAAACATTATTAATTTGTGTGGTTTCTTTTAAAAGCTCATCTGTGTAATGCCATAATTCAACTTTCACATATTTAATTCACAGTTATGATGAGTTTTAGTAATTTTTATGGTAATATTACATGTTGGAGTATTAGGAACTTCAGAAGGTTGTTAATTGAGCAGCAAGTGATCTAACACTTTGCTCTTTGTTGCTGTCTTGTCAGGATTGGGAGCCTATACTTACCTTAATTGAGAGGGCAATTCAACACCTCTGGAGGAAAAATATTAGTTATGGTAGACTCTCCTCCATACAAACTGCTTATTATGGGTGTATTTTATAATGACTTCTTAAACCATCAATTCTTAGTTTGTTTCTTATCAAATCCTTAACTCATGTAGCTGATGGACTAGGATAAGCTGAAACCTTGAAGGAAGATGACAGTATCTTATACATTGCAGAAGTTTTCCTTCCATATGTTATTTGCGAAACATTTTGACGTTGATGTGAATGAATTTATCCAATTATGCACTCACCAAAAGTTTCTTTCACAATGCTATCTCTCTGACATGCTTCATGTATATTTTAACATTTTCTTCTGCAGATTTTTTTGATGAAGCACCATCTGCAGACTTGGAATTTGCAATAAGGAACAGGACTAAAAAGTATCAGCCATCTTCTCCATTAGAGAAGCTAACCATAGATCCTTTATCTCTAATGGACCATGAAGATATTCCATTTGAGGAGTCCCATGAGAATAATGCACAATTTGAAGATCCACAAAATGATACGGAATTTGTTCATTGGACAGACTATTCTTTTCAAAGTTGGGACAACTCCGTTGCCAAAGGCACATCCTTGGTAAACCAAAGGAGTGATTGTCATCTTTGGACATCTGATAACAATTTTTTAGCAGAAAATTACTTCTATGAAAATAGATTCACTGCTTCAGGAAGATCAAACTGTCATGTAAACGACAATAGTATAAGTTCAAAGTTAGGTAATGCATCCCTTAAGGTTGAGAGTGGTGTGACCAATGGAACAGCTAGGGGTGTTTTTCCTTTTGATTATCATGAACATTGCAATGACTCACAGTTTGGAAAGAATGTCAGCAAGCCTTTTATGCAAAGTTGCTGCTCCCAAAGAAACTGGTCACTTGACAGGGAGTTGGTTGAAATCGATGCAGGAATTGAATCACCAAATGATAGCTTTAAGACCAAAAAGACGCAGGTGTGCTCAAATGAAAGGTTCAATGCGCTGGATATTGATTTCAGTGACCGGATATTTGATCACCTTACAAGGACCATGTGGCAGGATGGAGAATCATGTGGTCAATTCTATCCCAAACTTGTAAGAAAATGTGGTATTCCTAGAGATTGGGATGTTCTAACAAGAGCTTCTGCAAAGTTGTTCTTGTCATCTGGAAGTGATCTTTCTGTTGAAGAGATTGACCTTCCATCTGATTTGGTCACAGTAGCGGAAAACTCTGGCTCTGATCATCAGTCCTTAAGTACTGAATGGTGGTCAGGAACCTCAAATCCCTTTGAGGAATTTGGTTATAAAAGTGCAACTGAAGGGAGCTTCAGATCTGAAGAAAGGGCTCAATTTGGGCATTTCTCTGATGGTGAAGACAAGGACTATCAATTTTGTTTTGATCTAATCTCAAGGAGCTCCAACCAAGAAAAATGCATCTGTGATTGCCCAAACAAAGGACTAGAAGTTGACTATACCAAATCTTATAGAGATTTTCGTAAATTCCTTCGACAATACAATCTAAATCATAAATTTTCTCCAGAACATTCAAATGTAGTAATTGAAGAGAGAGATCGGTTGTGTCCATACTCAAGTATTAATGAACATAAAAGACAAAGAGATTGGTTTCAATATCAAGATTTTGGACAAAATCCTATTCCCAAAGAAAGATCCAGAAGAAGCCAGTCAGCTCCTCCATTTTACAGCCACAAGAGGAGGTTTATCTCCTTACATCAGTGTTTGCTGACAGCATCAGGGGAATCCACTTCTAATGAAGTCCATGGTCTATGTACTTCTTTAGGTGGTCTTTGTGAAGTACATTTCAGTTCAAAGGACTGGTTGATAATGTAGTATAACTAATGTCTGTGAATTTTGCAGAGACTGGTGAGAAGAAGGCTCCACGGCAATCTTCTGGTGTGGACAATCAACGTTTAGAACCAAGTTTTGGAAAGAATGGGTACTGCAATTTTGATATCTCCTTAAAGAATTTAAGTTGATGTTGCAGCTGAAGCTTAATTTTTCTCATTTTCTTTATTGGGTGATCACTTTGGCTTGATACAGATCAAATATGAAAAACAAGCCAGATATGGTGTTTGGCACTATAGTTCAAAAATGTGAAGACATTGAACAACCTGATTGCCCAGAGGGTCCTGAACCTCTTCCAGTGCAAGGTAATTCTGTTCTTTCACTAGAACTTATGCTTGTATTCGAGTGTAAGGTCTTATAGCACAACTGATACTGATTTGGTTGTGTGGTTGAACTTGAAGAGGATGACAGCTTAGCAACATTGTAATAGATTAACAGACATGGAATGCACAATTCTTTTTTGGTGAAAACTTGCTTAATTGCCAAACAAGGGAAAACTGCACGTACTGCTCAACAGATTAACAGCCCTTGTTTTATTCTGCCATCTTTCAGTATTTACCTCAAAGGGAAATCAGGATCCCTCAAATTCTGGAACCAAATGGCGGAATGGTTTGGTACAGAGCACAGTTGGGTATTTTTGCAATTTTAATCAATTATATTTGCTGCTGATGAGTTTTCAGCTGCAGATATGTTCACTAGTGGTCAATAATATTTACTCTATAATTACTGCAGGGCAACTGCAAATTATGTGATATTGACAACAAAGATAATTTACTTGACATCACTTCTGGAGTCCTTTATCTTGCCACTGACTCATTGGTTCCTAAATCTATCAATAAAAAGTGTCTCAGAGATGCCAAGATTCTGCAACAAATTGATAAAAAATTTATCCCAGTTGTAGCTGGTGGAACACTTGCTATTATTGATCAGGTCCATTACCTGCATTTTTTATATTCCTTGAACGATACTCTTTTCTTAGCATGCATTTTCTTTAATTATTGCAATGTAGGTTTCTTGCTGGAAAATGGTACCTTTAGTTCATGTATGTAGTACAAAATGACCTCATATAGGTTCTTGGATTTACCATTTATCAGATGGTGATGTTCAAAAGATATAGTGGTTCCTTAAGGAACATCTGACTAAATAGAGAGAAAGGGAAGTCAATTAATCATGATGAAGATCATTTGAATATACTGATCTTAGAAAGAGACGGATTAATCATGGCTAGAGTTAGATGAAATACTTTACTTGATTAGAACAACTTCGCTGCAATAATCATTCTTAAGTTTGTGAAAGATCGTAATAATACATACAGTAATCCATGTATTTGATGCCTATAGAACAAGTACAGGACATGTTATATGCTGATTTGGACATACATATAACAACATTAACATACAGACCCACATAAATGTTATTGAAATTTTGGCAGTGTGATTTTTCTCGTGTTATTGTTCTTTTCGCAGCATGCTGCAGATGAAAGAATTCGACTAGAAGAACTTCGTCAAAAGGTAAAAATATTCTCAACTTCAAATTTTGTGGAAGTAGTGATTTTGCTTCTAATTTGACAAGTTGAAAACTAGGTTTTATCTGGGGAAGGGAAGACAATCACCTATTTGGATACAGAGCAAGGGCTGGTATGTTTTGTTTGATGCTATATGAAGCTTTACTATGGTACCTTGGCAATGCTTGTGATTTTTCTGATTCCGTGGTTAACTTATTAGCTGTCAAATAACAGATCCTGCCAGAGATTGGGTATCAATTACTGCACAATTATTCTGAGCAAATAAGAAATTGGGGTTGGATCTGTAACATTCACACCCAAGATTCAAGGCCCTTCAAGAAGTACTTTCTGTTCCCCTTTCTCGAAAAATTGTGCTCACATATTTGTGTGTTGTAAATAATCCTAGATTTGGATTGGTGGCAAAAACATTGTTCAAAGATGCATGTGTGTTATGCTGTAACAATGTTTGACATGAGTTTCACCATTATGCGAATCATTCTTTAATGTTCATCTATTGTCTTATGATATTCATTGCTATTATTCTTATTAATTTTCCTGATTTTGCTTCATAAATTCAATTACCGTGCAGGAATTTGAACCTCGTTCATCGTGAGCCACCAGTTGTCATACTTCTTGCAGTTAAGCTCGATTACATTTCTAATTTATTTTCATGGAGGCAAACCAGCCCCCCACCATCACTTTTTTTTTTGCTTATGCCTTTTTGTAAGTTCGAGGATGTTGGGTCAAAATTATCTGTTTTGTCCTTTTTTGAAGGCAAAAGTCGGAAACTCATTCCTTGAAATATTTTCCTTATCTTTGTTTGCTTATGGTGCAATTTCAAGCTGCCTTTTCTGTTCTTGCCAACTTTGATGTTGATAAAATTTTATATGGATAACATGCAGGTACCCTGCATTTTAGGTGTCAGTTTATCTGATGTTGATCTCTTAGAATTTCTTCACCAGGTAATACATGGTTCATTACTTATTACAACTTTTCCATCCTACTTCCCTCTTCCATTTTACTTGGTGGCGAAGCTATTTAATTTCTAACTGTAGTTTGTATTTTATAATAAGTAGCTTGCTGAGACAGATGGATCATCAACAATGCCCCCATCAATTAGTCGAATTCTTAATTTCAAAGCGTGCAGAGGTATATGCCTAATCTCATATCCTAGTGGCATGTTTGGGAATCAAATTCGAAACTTATCCGTGTCAGAAGAAATGTAACACTTTATATAGTACATGGTTACAATGACTAGTGCAATAATTATCTAAGCAAATATGCACCAATGATAGGTCAATTGAGACTTCTCTAGTGTAGCTGTAGAGGTATCTATGAGTCTTTACAGTCTTACATCTATTTTAGAGTTCCATCTAGTTGTCTACTTGCATAGCCTTCATTAATATAGTTTATCATTAGAACTTGTGCATTGATATCTTGTCCTTCATTACAAGTTGTTTAACTTGAGTACCTTCATGTCGCGCTTTCATTGTTAAGGTGCAATTATGTTTGGAGACTCCTTGCTACCTTCAGAATGTTCCTTAATTGTGGAAGAGCTAAAGCAGACCTCCCTGTGCTTCCAAGTGAGTTAAAAATATAATGTAGCAAGATATTTTGCTGATTTGACTGCTGGCATTTTGTACGTGTGATGCATTTACACATATGAGAGAGAGAGAGAGAGAGAGAGAGAGAGAGAGGTACTCTTGCTGCCTTGCTGAATAACTGAAAACTTTGTCCTGCAGTGTGCTCATGGGCGACCAACTACTGTCCCGATTGTGAATTTGGAGGCATTGCATAGGCAGGTAGCCAAGATGCAAGTGAAGGATGATGATCCAAGGGAGTTGTGGCGTGGGCTATGTCGACATAGAGTCAGCCTTGAACGAGCCAACTTGCGCTTAAATGCAGCAGGAGGTTAGCTCATTGAACGAAGTTGTGGCAAGTGACAATCCACATTATAATAAACTTGTCTAAATGTGATTCGAGCGAGTGTTGGACTCTACTTCCCTGATTTCGTGCCTGCGAGAAGTTAGCATCGATGAGAAGCCAAATTGCTTTCACAGAAGCAGTGTCATTGGATTGTTGACCAATTCCTTGTATGATCATTCTTTTTCTTTTTTCCTTTTAATAAAAACAATGGGTGCAATGAATCATTTTTTTCTCTGATGTATTCTGACCTCATATGGTAGTATTAATCAATTGGCTATTGGTGCTGAACTATACTATTTGATAGGGGGTGTATATACTGAAAGCAGTAACTTTTCCATCCATTAAAAATTTCGAAATGAACCAGCAATCCGGCATTAAGGAAACTTTGGTCTTAACATCTGAGCATTTCCGTTCAGTTTCATTGTAATTGTAAACCATACCTTGGGGCGAAAATGATGCAAGATTCACTTCTATTATTTATGGACACAACTGTGCCAGAACCAACCCTTTTTAACTGAATCAGATATCTATAAATGACAAAATCCCAAGATAGTTCATTTAGGAAGTGTAGGCGAGGCCATACATGATACATAAACCACTTAAAAGGAGACTAGTCCACCTTCCATGCAAATTTAAAATAAGAACTATTAAGTCTGATTATACAGCAAGTATGGGCACATGGTTTCTTGTTGAATTGAGTTTGAAAGCTCATCAGCTATTTCCTTTTGCAACAGACAGAAAACTTGCCAATGATCTCTAATGGCCATCCTCTTCTACAATAATGGATTAGTTTCTTGAACTTTGACGACAATGCTTTTTCCACTATCTGTATAACGTGCAGCAATCCAGATATCTTTCTGCTAATTGATGTGCATACATATAAAAATGTAATGGCCATGACATCAACCATCTTCCCTATATGTGACAGGACTTTCTTTGTTGTCAATGCTAGCACACAAGGCCTTCCATACGGGAAGCAACATCTTCGTTGGAGGGCGAAGTTCCTTCACAGAGAATCAAGTTTCACAACTCAATTAAAATCCAAAATTAATAATAATAAGTATATTTAGCAAAATAACTACATAAGTATATGACAATACCCACATACATACACACTCCCTAAACAATTCTCCTATTACTTGACATCTTTTAAGTGATAGACCACCCCACAGTGGTGGATCCAAGATTTTTTTTCCAGAGGTATCTATATATATCTATATATATACACCAATTTTGTCAATGAAAAGGGTGTCAAAGGGAAAATTTTCAGGTGTCCAAGGAAATATTTTCCTTCAAATTTTCTTAGTTTCCAATCTTTGTCGGTGTTCATGAACACCCTACTTCAACATGTACGCAGCATACCCCCTAAATTTTCTGAAGTAAAAAAGATTGACCTCAACAAGTTCTGCTGTTTTACCTTGAATACCAACATCAGCTCTTCCTTCCCACGCACAAGTAAAGAGAGGCTCCAATAACAAGTTACTGGGGTAACACATTCTAATAATACAGGTTTCAAAATCTCACCGGCAGGAATAAATCTGCGGATGATTCTTCCACTACAAGGAAATATACGAAAGGAGATTAAAAAAATAACATTGGCAATGGTGCTATCACTAGGTTCGTGACCACAAAAAAAAATCTGAAGGGAATATTAGTTAAGCTGCTTGCCAATAGCTAGCTTCTCTTCAACTAAGAGAGAAGAATGACCAAGTCTATTGAAATGAAAGCTAGAAATGCCTTTGAAACACTGTCAAGTCCCGGAGAGAGCAATGTCTGAATGCAAAAATTGGATAAAAGAACAACTGAAGCCTAATATTGAACAAAAAACTGAAACAGCAATTTGTGATACAGAGTAACTACCTACAACAAAAACCTTCATAGAGTAACAGTAGATGTTTCCTCTTCTTACATTACAGTCCTATTTGCCCATTAGAAAAGGAAGTTTTGAAATCAAGTCAGGAAAATTCTTCCACTCGTCAACTTCCAAACAGTAGTATATCTCTATTCTAATAGTGTAGAAAATAAAAATAAAATGCCTAAAGAGATATTTTCCTATATTGATAGTATACCATAAAACAAGTATCTAAAGATGTTTAATTCTAGTGAATTAGAACTTTTTAGAAGTTACCTAGAATAGTGAGTTTCAAGCTGAACTCCAAAGGCTGGCATTATGATGACAGACTCTGAAAGCTTAAAAAGACAACTTTAAGCAAAAAGATTAAAAGAATATCATCATAAATCCTAATGACAAGGATCAATCTCATAATACTTGTTTGAAATTGAGACAATAGCACATCAGATCAGATGACTAAAGCAACCGGCTGAAAAGGCTCTCACCTTTGTCAACAGGCTTCCAAAGCAATAATAATATGACAAGAAGTCCACTCAGCAGAAAGCTCCACAAAAGAAGAGTGGCTGAATTTTCCTGCTATTTCATTCAGTCATTGTATGAGAAGCTAAAAGCCTAAAACCAAATAGCAAGTTGATTTAGAGAATGTTACTCATCAAACAGAAAATCCCATTTTAACACTAGACTCGACAAATAGAAACATGTCTAGGTACCCAGAAATCATCTTACATCCCCAATAACTCCTAGTCATAGAATAAAAGAAAAGAGGGATCATTGGTTCTTAAACATATCACTATAAAGGAATTTCAGGAAGAAGAAAGAGACGAGTTTTGAGAATTAATTGATTCTCCAGAGTCCATACCTTGAAAGAGAAGAAATAGCTGGCAATTGGTAGAAGCAGAACAAAAACAAGAATGGGTACAAAGAAAGACTTCACAAAACTCTTCCGTACAATGATATTGTGAATATCAACTGACCCAGAAGGCCACTCACCCTCGTTTATGTAACTGTATCGAGAATTAGCTATTGAGATCTTTCCCATCTTAAAAAGATTCAGACTTTGAAACACAAGACCTAAGGGTTCGGATCTTCTAGCGACAAAATTAAAGGTTATAAAAAGTAATCAATTTCATATTCGAAAGAGGTAGGATGATGTATCAGGTAGGAGCCCGCGGCAGCGATGGGTGGCGATGGCGGTGGGTAAGGAGGAGCCAAATTCGGAGAGCGCTAGCAGAGAGAGGATATTTAGTTTTCGGTTCCCTCTTCAAAAGGATTTTACAGCATTAAAAAAATTCAATTTAAATTTAAATCAATTTTTAAATTTATAATACAATAAATTAATTGAAATAATTAAATCCAAGCGATATCGCTTTATTAGATATTCAAGTGCCAATATAATAAGAAGTAATTTGATTTTCAACCGAAGTAATTAAACACAATCATTAGTGGTGGGATCCCCAATAATCATTCTTTGTTGATGGTGGGTGAGTGTGTGTGTCTGTAATGGTAGTGAGGCTCAGATATTGGTCGACAAGCAGCAAACAGATTGTCATTCTACATCACAGGAAATCATGAATGCGCTGAAACGATCCAATTCCAACCATATTCAATACTTGAATCATTCTTCGCTTAATTGAAATTCAAGCATCATCGCTCCACCGGACTTGGTGTGGTGGTTGATAAGCTTTAACTGGTCACCACTTACCACTTGTTCCATGCCGGCGTTGGATCAACGCGGCTTCATAACAGTTGTGATCCATACTACGTCTTATATGTCCACCGCAACGCTAATTGACATCACAATTTTCCCAATCAAAGAAAAAAAATGGCTTCTCATTTTCATGCTTCTCTCAAGTACAAGCTTGTGATTGCAATGACACCTGCATTCTTTGGACTTTGGAGACAATACATTACCCAACCAACATATGTTAAATGTCCAAAATCAAACCAAAGAGTCATCTACGCTAACAAAACCAAGCATGATCTAATTTCACGAAGAACTTGCCAAAACATTCATGGAGTTCCTTCTCTATTTAACAAATAACCAAAAAGAAAAAGTCAAAGCACAAAGGTAGACTAAAATTCAGAGTTACATAATAGCAAATCCATTTCCAACTTAACCGGCTCATTTCATGCTCAAACTAGGAGTATTAGCTTTACTATGTTAGGAATGCTATTGTTCCATAATTAGGCCGAATTCTTTTGTCTCGTCCCTAGTCCAACAACCAGAGTCTTCGACCGGCATGTGCTTCCTCCTTCCAGTAATAACAGGCACGAGGTGCACAAAGTGACTCCCAAGTCTCACCCTGCCATGCTGTAGTCTTCTGCCTCGTCATATATGTTGTAGCTCCCGGGCATTCCCATTTTTCCAGACAGATGGTCATCTCCTGCATCAATTAAATTGGGATGTCATAAGACCACTGCTATTTTGAATCTAAGAAACAATTTCAATCTAGCACTAGCAGACACAACCATACATAGACAAGATAATGAGATACGTTTCTCATGGAGGAATGATTTTAACTAGCGAGTGTAAGGTAATCAAAAAGAAGCCTCAGGTAATAGACCTTCCTGAAAAGAAAATGCTACTGTGTACTGATCACAGACCATCATTGCAAGTGGGAAATGGAAATTTATAGAATCAAAACAACAGGTATAAAGGAAAACTGGTGAACCCTTCATTATCCATAAGTCAGACATCTCGGGATCCTTCTACTAGCAACAAAATGTTTTCAATTTTACATAGCAAGATAAGGAGAAGTCCAGATGCTAACCGTTGTATGAATTTGGATTGGATAGTACACCCAAGAAATGCAGCTCAGAGGTTATCTCTGTGTTCTGGAAGCACAGATCTTCAGCCCTTGGTGCAGGGTTCTGCTGGGAGAGAAGATTCTCTGGCTTTGTCTTCTTTTCATTTGGTGATTCAACTTCTGTCTCTACTTCTGATTCAGCATTGTTGGACGATGACACCAGTTGCTTCCTTTTAGATCGAGCCCGTCTATTTTGAAACCAGTTATAGACATTTGTTTCAGAAATTTGTCCGTGCTGGCTCAGTTCTGAGGTTATCTCTTTGATCTTCTGCTTGCTTGGAGTTCCAGTCCCCTGATCAAAGATACGTTCAAGAATTTGAAGCTGCAAAGGAGTTGGAGTCCACCGCTGCCTAGCAGTAATTTTGTGCCCAGCAGATGTCATCAAAGGGTCACAATAGAGATTTCCCAGCCTGCCACCTGCAAGAGAGATTATTTCTTTTTGTTTTTCAATAGCCAATATTGAGTCTTAACATTGTGAGAAATTGCTACCAAGTAATTATGAAGATAGGTTCTAATTAGAAATCAAATATTCAGTCACAATTATCGATTTCAGGCATCTGAGAGAGCTTAAATTACGTTATCAGTTTTCAGAAATTCAAAATGGTTAAAAAAGCTAAACAAATTCAACAAGATCAACGGAAACAGAAATCACAATATCCTAGTTCTGAATGCAACAATATATACATATAAAAAAAAAAGGATAACAACACTTGTAATGGTGCTATCAATTGTTAGGAAACATGAACAAAGAAGCTAGCCTAACAATCGCCACTAATCAACACTAAAAAAAGGTTCACCAGTGAAATAATGAGCCGAAAGAGCCAACAACCATGTGATCCATTGGTAGAGTATTCGACTCTTAGTTCTAGTGACCAGGATCAATCCTTGGCAACCTCATGTAGCCAAAATGAGCCAAACGAGTTTATAGGTATTTGCATTAATGGCTTCCACCTATATTCTTTGACAAATTATTGTTCTGATTTTGTCTCTATTCTCGTACAATGGCTCCTAAAGTTGGGTGAATTTCTCACAAAGAAAGAAAACAATGGGATTTAGATTACTATTGACAACTGGAAAACAGATAAGCAAAAAATGATCAGTTGGTCGGTATTTAACTTATTCAGCAATAAAAGGGAGGAAGTATAGGTTAAGCAATAACAAGATAGAAGAGACCTGAACGATCGGAAACAGCCAACCAAATCAGTACATGAAATTGACCCAAATGAACCGAACATTTAATAAAAGAAGCAGTTTTAATTTGTTTAGAGTTGTTTGACAATTAAATATGACAAAGATTGTCCCTGAAAATAAAGCAACTAACTAAACAATTTCATCTCTTGAGAATTTGATGATCCGGGGTCAATCTTGGAGCAAGGATATTTAATTTAATAGTATAAAGAAATAGATATTCAACCACAAGCTGAAACAGAAGAAAATTCACAAGTCTCCTGCCATTCCATTTCCATGGAACAGCTGAGTATGAGGGTAGATCCAAGGAGCAGAACAGCCAGTAGATAGACTGACACAGAGAAACTGGTAAGTAATCAAGGGAAGAATTAAGTAAGCCTTGTATAATTGAAAATCAGAAAAGCACACAAGACCCAGAAAGGGAAAAAGAAAAAGACCTTTGGAAACGAGCAATATCCATTTAGATAATGACAAAAAGAAAGAGAGACTGGCCTGCAAGATCTTGCTGGGCAGTGAGGTTCTTATGCATTTCAACAAGCTGCTCACAAATGGAGGCATAAACAGCAATTTGCTTCCTGAGAGTCTCCAACTGCTCATCGGTCATCACTTTGACATACATTACTCCACCATTATTCACATTTACATTCACACCATCTCTCTGGTTTTGATTCTCTTGGTGATGATGATGATGTTCTTGATTCTCCCATTCCATTATCATGCTTTTAAATTTTCCCTCAGATCATACAAACTCTATCGTAATTTCTCTCTCTCTCTCTCTCACAGTCTTGTGTGGAAGAAAGGGAAGTCAGTGCTCACCAAAGCAAAAGAATTGAAAAGAAGAAAAGAAACGAAAAGAGAATAGGAAAAAGCAGAAAACTTTGAAAAGTAGTAATAAGAAATGGACAAACAAAACAGCAAAAGTGTTGGCGTGGATTAAACCGATCTGCTGCTACTGTTAATTGTTGCTGTTGCTGTTGCTGTCGCTGGTGCTTATTGCGCTTCGACGCGTATGTTAGCAACCCACGCGGCTCGTGCGCCTTTGAATTTGATGAGACATGAATGAATTTTTGTAGGTCTCCAGGGCATGTTTTTTCTTTCGACTTTTTTGTTTTTGGGGATTGGGGATCAGGGCACCTTTTATTACTATTAAAATTTTCATATCATTTTTCCTAGTCCTTTCTCAGAATTTTCTTTTTGTTATAATGCATTTCTCAGTTATTTTCCATTTATATCATTCATGTAATTATATTTATGGAAAAAAATCAAATATTATCACTAACATTATTAATAAATTTATTGAAATAAATATTTATTATTTAATTATCACAAATAATATGTAATAAATAATTAAATTTTATAAATATAATTACGTGATATGATTGAAATAAAAATGATATATATTAACATAGACAAAAATGATATATGTTAACATAAAATAACTATTTCATTTAGAGACTTTCCATATTTTGAATTAGAATTGATTTCTTTAACTCATTTATTTTTTTTAAATTACGCTTATAATTAAATATTATATTCATACAAAAAATTATTATATTATTAAATAATCAACTAATAAACTATAACTTAACTAAATAATTAAAATTCATACTCGATGAAACTTGAATCTAAGACATTACCTCTTCCTTTTCCACTAAGCCAGAGTCCTTGTTGGACTTTAACTCACTTGTTAATTTACTTTGTTTTGATATATATATATATATGAGTTTATATTTGAAGTGTTTTTAATATACAGATTTTATACAATATCAATTAATCAAATTATAATATTTTATTAATGAATAAATATTAATTTTTAAAATAAATATATATAAATTAATTTTTTTAAAAAAATTAATTTATTAACAAAATATTATCATCTTATTCATCTTATTAATAAAATGTTATTATTTAATTCACTAACAGTATATAAAATATATATATTAATAATGAATTAAATATAAATTATATATATATACATATGTGAATAATAATAATAATAATTTTATGATTCCTTAACTTAGATAACATACTATTCTTACACTATAAATCCATGATTTTTATTGAATTATTTTAAAATTTATCTTTTTAATTATTTATTTGCTTTTTAATTAAAAAATTGATATATTATTGAAATTGATTTTAAAGATTGTGAATTCAAAAAATTTTGTGCACATAATTTTTTTTTTTTTTACTAAATAAGTAACAAGATAAAAAAAAAAAGTCTAAGAATAGATTAAAATTAAAAAAAAAAAAAACAAACGTATGATTTTCCTAACTAAATATATATGGCCTAATGTGAGATTGGATTTTGAATGATCAAAACGAACCGTAAAAATCTCAATAAATTATGTTCACTAAAAAAGATTTATAATCAAATATATTTGTTAATAGTCATGCGATGGATCGATATAATATTAAATTTTTAATTTTAATAAAAAAATAAAAAAATAAAACAGAAAAGAAGAGTGTTCTTACTAGTTCTTTTTGAACTAGTATTCCTAGTTAGTACTTACAACTGACTACTGAAGGAGAGTGTCCTAATCTACATAGAAATACTATTACTACTAGTAGAAGTAGCAGTACAAAAGAGTTGGAGTTCTGAGTTCTGACACCTTAGAGCAGCTAAATGAGGCAGCCAGAAACAGTAGAATTAACTGTTCAACATTCTCAAATGTGTCAGATCGGATGATGAAGTGTGTCTTCTCTTCGCTGATCACTTGGAGCACCGTGAACCGTTTTCCCTGACACAAACTGCATTTCTGTCAGAAATTGTTCTATTATAACAAGTACTGCTTACCACTAACCTTTTATCTTATTCATTTTTATTCACGTAATTGCCACTTGTGACATCTTCAGTTCCAATTTCAATTTCATGTATCCGCATTGCATTGCCATCTCCATCCTTCATAACTAAGAGTACTACAAAGTACAATTAATACTGTCAATAACTTTAATGTGTTGTGTTTAGAACTTATAATAATAATAACAATAATATAATAATATTGAACTGAAGTCAATAGATGCAAGTTGCTTATCTCTTAAACTGAAACTGTTTTCAACTTTTTTTTATCTTTCATAGATAAATTTGAGGCATAGTCAATTTTTTTTCCTTTTCTTGTTTCTGTTGGATTTACTTAATGTGTTCTTTTATCTGCAGAACTTACATGGAGATGACGTAATTTTTAGTATGCGAGGGAGATGGGTGCTGTTAGAAAAATAACTGTGCACAAGATTATAAGAAATCAACTTGTGAATGTTTGGATATTGTGATCTTCCTCTTGTAACCTCCTCGTTGTGTAGTTGGAGTAGTACAATATGAACCTTCAAACACGATTAAAATGATTTCAGGAGTGCTGCATATATTATTTTCCTTAAGATTTATTTTATTCTAACTAGTTATAATATGCAAAAGATGTAAATTAAATGTCTCTAAAATACAATAAAGTCATGTTTATTCTTACTTTATATTAGTAAAACAAACCATTAAATACTTCTTAGTAAGAATAGAAATACCTTGTTTCCATCCAAGGTTTTTTATAACAAACAATACTAAAGAAACTTGCTTTTAATTGAGAAATAATTAAAAGAAAGAAAAGAGTTATTCTGAATTGAATTGTATATTTAAATCAATTCACATCAATCTCTATTTATAGAGATTAAATCCTAAAGTTATGATCTTTAATTGTATTGTTTCAATTAAAGATCACTTCATTTTTTATTATAAATAAGTTTATTTGAAAGATTACAAACGAATTTGTTCATTTGAATAATCAAATTTTTAATATAAAGAGAAACCATTTTTCACATTTTTAAAAATTATAACTTTTAATGTAAAGCAATCGACTCCACCTAAAGGGTAGTCGACTATCCTCTATATTTTCAATTTTTAGAATGCTTTTTGAAGCAAAGCAATCAACTCTTTTATAGAGCAGTCAACTTCTTGTTTCTTTTAGAATGCACTCGACACATGAGCAGTCAATTATTTCATATCGCAGTTGACTCTTTTAATTTCAAGAACGGTTTCGATTCTAATCTTTTAAAGAGCAATCGATTCCTATGCAATGGCAATAGATTATTATGTCCTAGATTAATCTCCAAATGACTATAAATATTGGTAGTCAATTCTATCAGGATTAGGAATCGATTCTACTCATTTTTTACCTATAGAAGTTGATTGCTCTAATCTAATAGTCTACTCCTACTTATACAAAATGTATATTTAGCTTATATTTGTCAAAGCAATCTATTCCATGCCTTTAACCTTTGACTCAGTGGCAAATTCAAAATTTTAAGTTAGGGGAAGCCAAGCTAAATTACAATTGTAATTTGAAAATTTTCACTTAGCATATAATATGTTGTTATTTTATCAAAAGTTATAAAAATTTTAGATAAAATATGGCATTCCATAATGTAACCATAAATAAAATATATACAAAATTCAAGTATTGAAATTAAAAATATATATAACTATTAAAAAGAGAAGAAACTTAAATAATTTTATTTAAAAGTGTGCACGATGATCTTTTATAAAAAGAAAATATTAGATTGGAAAGTTTTAACAAATTTTCTCTTAATGTAGAGAACAATATTAAGATTTTCTCTCGATAATTTTCTTAGATTTAAAATTAATAAAAAATTTATAATTTACTATTAATGAATTCAAAATCAAAAAATAAAGATACAATGGTCTTATCATGGAAGAAGTTTCAATAACCATTTATATTGTTATTGTAATTGGCTCTATAAGAAGACAAGAATAGACTTTTTGCGATAACTATAACGACTTAGTGCTAGGTTCATGGTTTTTAGGGAATAAGACTTAATGTTAAGTTTAGGCTTTTAAGGAATAAGATTTATGTCTTTTTTTTTTTTTTTTTGGGTTCTATTAGTCTCACTTTTTTATTTTTTTGTTAAATTTCTTTGAATAGTTTTGAAATTTTAACATAGGTCATATTTAACTAATAAAGTTTTTTAATTTTTTTATGAGAACTAAATTATAAATATTAGTACTTTTTACAAATTAATTGGAATTTGAGATTTGAATTTTTTTTGTCTTACAAGGTTTTCTTTTTAAATTGCAAGTATAAATTATAATCATAATCATGTATTACATAATTGAATATTAAAACAAATAAATTAATCAACAAATTAAAGCATAACTAGACAAATCTAACATAAAATTGAAACAAATCCATATATAATAAAAACCTGAACCTATAATCTCAAGGTTTTAAACATTTATAATCATAAAAGAATAATTTTTTATTTTTTTAAGTGGCCATTTTTATTTTTTTTTTAAATACTTATAAGTTATATATATTATAAAAATATGTGTTACAGGGTTTGAAAATCTATTAAAGGGCTTGAAAAATCTTAGGATGGCCATGGCACCCTTTGGTTCCAATATGGCTCCACCACTACTTTGACTGTTCTTATTGAAGCTTAAGATAGCCGACTCCTCTAAGCATGGCAGCCAACTGCTTAAATGTACAGTCTTCTTAAAATGATTATTTTAAGCCTAGAATCATGTCTTAGATTTTTGAAACTTTACCTTAAGCCATTTATAGCTTAATTAGATTTCTCTTTGATTAAGTTATTACTTAATCATATTTTTATATTTTGAAAATATTTTCTAACATTTCCCACCTATTTTCAAAACAAGGCTAAATTTTGGTATTTTCAAAAATTTTATACGTAAGTACAGATATCATATAACATGATTTCAAAATCTTTATATTAGTCATAAAGTGTTGTTGAGTTAGTCAAACTGAATAATAGATCTTAGATCTTTGAACCAACCAATTTATGTGACTAGTCATGCACTAAACCACACATAAAATTTCATATTCTACCAAAGTGTCATTTAGTCTTACTTTGACAAAATTTTAATGATCGTGTGTGTAGTATATTCATGAATGTTTTCAAAGTCAAGTCCGTACTCTTAGAAGTGGCATCATTTCCACCCATATAGTTGAACTACATTAAGAATATAATCATATAAGCATTTCAACATTAAATTGACATGTTATAGATTCATTAAGAGTAATTTTCAACATTTCCACATATGGTTCCAGTGTTTACCTATTTTTGGATGGTTTTTAAATTTAAAGTACTTGCACTCACATACAAATAATGTACTTTACTCATTAAAACTCAAGACTTAATGTGCAATTAAGCATTGAGTTGATGTTTCATCATGTATCACTTAGTTTATAGACTTAAGTCACATCCCTATAAAAGTTTAGACACCATATCTTTTGTAAAACCTTTTATCATTGAATCAACCAAATTTCTAATTGACTTAAAAAAATTAATGGTGATTATCCTATCTTTTATAAAACTGTTTAATATGGCTATATCTTTGACCTATGTGTTTTGATTTCTCATTATACATTAGACTATATGCTTTTACAAGTGTAGCTTGACTATCACAATGGATAGGTATTGGTGACATCGATTTTGGCCATAAAAGTATTTCTAATAGTAAATTCCTTAGCCATTCTGTTTTCTTGCATGCTGAAGCTAATGCCATAAAATTAAAGGCAATAGTATAATCTATTATACAAGTTTGTTTCATAGAACCCCAAGAAACTGCATCACCAATCATAAAAATCCATCAGCTTATGGATGAATGATTCTCTCTATTAGTTATCCAACTTACATTAATGTATATTTTTAAAACCAAAGGTTTACTACAAAAACAAATATCATAATCCATAGTCTTCTTTAAGTATTTAAAGATTCTTGTAATATCATTCGAATGCAAATTACTTACGTTATTTGTATATCTATTAAGCTTACTAACTACATATTCGATTTTGTGCAGGTTATTGCATACATTATGTTAGCTTTTTAGATGAGATACTGACCTAAGAGGAGGGTGAATGGAATTTTTCTAAATTTTTTTCAAACAATGATTTCAAAATAATTGAATGAAAAATTAAAATCAATATCACAATATAATGCAAATGAAAACAAATTGATGAACTCAAGGCAAATATAAATTATAATCAAAATAAGAGATAAAATAAATAAATCAATCAAAAAGATTTATAGAAGTTCGGTCCTTATCCATAAGGCACCTACATCCTCTCTTTTGGTTATTCACACCAAAGCTTCAATCCACTAATCTTAAATTGAAAATATAACCCTATTTTTTTTTCTAAGACTTAAGATAGAAACCTTATACTTTCATTTTTTAGGCTAAGTAGTAACCTTTTAATCTCACAAATTTAAGAGGATATCTCACCTTTTGATTACAAAATCACTTAATACAAATGCAAACTTAAAACACCTCTCAAAAGCTAAGTGTTTACCTAATGAAGTATAAAAAAATTTGATGAATGAAGAACACAATATTGCTTGGATACAACAAATACAAAAGCTATCAACTTTAAACTCTAACAACTCTTGATTCTATGAAATATGAGAATATAACTTGTTTGCTCTTGTTTTCTTGCTTCATCAATCTTCTTAGTGTGTTAGAGTGGCCAATATATAAAAAAAATTAAAGAACTACCTATTGGGGAAGCTTAGAAGAAGAAAATGCCTATTGAAAACATGAAGAATAGTCATTGGAGTGATTTTGCCTAGACCCGATTGATTCCTTCCATGAAGGGATCAATTAGTTTATGTTTTGGAATCAATTCACGGCTTGAAAAACTTACCCGATCGATCCCTTTCTTGAGAGGATCAATTGGTTCAAGGGAGTGATTAATCCCCTACATAGGATGATCAATCCCTTCTTTAACTAGGAGTATAACGCTGCTTTTTGGGTAAAAATTCAATCGATCTCTTCTTAAGGGGATCAATCCTATCCATGGCTGGGTGGTTGTATCTTATTTTGTACTCTACTTACTAATTTGATCATATCTTGAGTTATACAAATTCAAATCACAAATCGTTTAAAGATTTTGAAACTAAACTTAAAGGGCTTTTTATCCCAAAATTTTTCATCTAATTCATTGTGTACGAATTATAGAGAATTTTCAAAGCTATCCCTTGAGTAGTTTTTAGACAACTATAGAGTGTCTAGTAAAAATTTAAAATCTTTTCTTAAAAAATTTAGATTTTAATTGTGTTTAATCTATTAGAAAGTAAACCTACAGAACTTTTCCAACCATATAAAATTCAAATATTAAAGCTTTGTGAATTAATATAGAAAACTAAAATAAGTTCAATGTTGGAAAACTTTGTTCTTGTAAAACAACTTTCTTAAGTTAATCTATTTCTCAAAACCAATATTATTAAAATTGTATTGAGTCTAAAATAAATGAATTCACTTTAAAGACAACAATTGAACTTTCATTTAAACTCAAATAAAAAATGTTTAAAGATACGTTTGATTTGAAAAATAAGAAAACAAAGAAAGATTTGTTTACACTATGAAAAATATATTATTTATTTAGTATCAAAATATAAAACTTAAGAACATGTACTAAATATAACTTTTTCAAAATCTTGATTAAGCTTATTTAGCTTAATGTTTTGTCATTTTAAAATAATGATCAATTCAAGGCTAACACATTAGACAACTTGTAACTTTTTTATATTCATGTTGTACAACTAGCATCCTTTAATTTGGAATTAATTTCAAATTAGGATCAAAACATGTTGAAACTATTGTATTATCAAAATGATTATATCTCTTGAGAATCTTTTCAATGTAATGTGCTTGTGATAATGCTATATTAGAGTTTTCTCTAATTATCTTGCTTTCAATAATCACATTTTGAACACCCATATCTTTCATAGCAAAATTGCCATACAAGAACTTTTTAGTACTTTCAACTTGTTCTAAGTTCATAACAAAAATTAGCATGTTATCCGTAAACAGACATATGATGACATCTTTTCCTTTTGCAAACTTGCTATAGACATATTTATCAAATTCTTTAATTTTGAATCCATTAGCTAGCACAACATAATAAAACTTTTGATGTCATTGCTTAAGAGCTTGCTGAAATCCATATAAAGACTAAATTAATTTACACACTTTCTTTTCTTAAGCTGAAAGTACAAACCCTTTCAATTATTCTATATATACTTCCTCATTTAATTCACCATTTAAGAATACTAACTTAACATGCATTTGGTGAATCTCAAGTTTATATGTGAAAGCCAATGCTATAAGCATTCTTGTTGTAGCAATTTTTGCTACCAATGTATAGGTATTAAAATAATCAATACCATATATTTTTTATAAATTCCTTAGCAACAAGTCTAATTGTGAACTTGTTTATACTTCGATCGACTTTCATTTTCTCTTTGAAAATTCATTTGCAACCAATAAGTTTGCAATTAGATGGTAAATCAACTAAGATCTATGCATTGTTTCTCATAATAGAATCCATTTCATCATTTATAACTTCTTTCTAAAAAATTTATATTTTGAAACTTCATTGTCTCTTTTAATATTCTAAGAACCAATTTCATATTAAAAATAATATTTAATATATTTGTTGATTATTTCTCTTGTTCCTTCTATTAGGAATATGTAAAATTCCGCGCAAAAATTTTAGCATTTCTTACTCTTTTATTTATTGTAGATACAAATTATCTTCTTTTTTTTTTTAATGAAAGTTACCTTTCTTTATTCCTTTGAGTTAACCAAGGTAATTTCTTTAGGATTAGGTACAAGGTTATCTATTGCAGTCTCTCTCTGTTCTTCCGTCTTGATCTTTGAATAGATGATACAGTTGGATATGATTGAAATTTGAAGCGTGAGAAATGGGAATGTCGTTTTCTCCAACTAGCTATGTGCTTCATACATAATAAAATATATATTATATATTTCTTTTGGTGGGTAGGTTTGCTAATTTGGTAGAAGAACATGCTCCGATTCTACATCCATGTGATCCTTCAATCATGCATATGTCTTATGTGTATATCATCTATTAATTTGGGTTTTGTCTTTTTGCAGAAATCTATTGCCAACAGAAATTTGATTTTTCTTTAATCCGATAATCATCATTATCTCCTATGGTGCTTCGTGTTCTTATTCCTCTTATAATAATAGACTTGTGAACTTGGAATTTTTTATAATGATGATTTGGAGTATTAATGGGAATGGCATGTGCATCTTCCACTATTTCTGTCGACCCATCGGAGTCAAAAAGTCTATTAATTCCATTCAAAGTCCAATGTTACGTTCATATTCATACACTAGAATACTTTTTTTAGAGACTTTTTTGGCAGCCTGCCATTCTTGCCATATAAGAAAAGTAAGCACATCGGTTCACACTTAACACTCTTTTGCAATAATTAAGAACAGGAAACATGCATGCATGGCATTGCCATCCTTTATTTTTTACATTATTTCTTGATAAATAGTTAAGCAATGGAGACTCAAAGTTCAGTTGCTAACATCAACTTTGAGAAAATAGCGTTTTTTACAAAGCAACCCAGTTTAGGTTAAAGAAAAAAAATTATGAATGATAAATTTTAAATTTTAAATGTATTAAATATAATTTTTTAATAATAATTACATGAAACAAGTATTCAACTGAACTACACGAGAAGAAAACTTTAAAATATCAGTATCACCGACCATCATCGGTTGGCGTGGTTTGGTGCATAACTACTGTAACTCACCTAGCTATAAGCTGTGCCTAAATAAGAGAATGTGCGCCCAGTGAAATCAAATAGTTAACTAACAATTGTCCAATTAGTTGCTGCAGAGAAAGTCAAGAAGCAATAGGGGAAATACTTTGGCTTCTTCTTTTAGCTTCCAAAGCTGGCAGTGGCACTGGCAGTCATCTGTGGGACTGGTTTATGAAAGAAAAAAATTAGGAGCTTGTTTCCGCTTGGTTTGATTGGCTTTACTTGGCATTACACCTTTTGAATGACAGTGATAACAGGTTCTCTTGGATCTTCCATCTTTCTTTCGGTGTTTTTTTTTTTTTTTTTCCTTGGATTCTCATTTGGACAGGACAATTTGGTGTACCTAACAAAGATTATGAAGCCCTCCCGACGAATCAAAATTTGATCAAACGTCAAGTTTCAAAGGACCATTCCAAGACTCTAAAGTGGGCCTCTCTAATTTTTTGCACAAAGAAATAAGATTGTAATCTAGTGGGAGATCTTCTGATGATGGTCTTTCCTCTTCCTTTCAATTGTTTTCTTACTCTTTCTCTAATTTGCGCTTTTACCTACTTTTGGTAGAGATTTGTCGTAAAAAAGGAACATATCCTATTGTTTCTTCCTTCTTTCAAGCCTTGAATTCATTATTTGGTGAATCTTACTTTTCTAAGTTGGAAAAAATAGTAGTTTACATTATTGGCCTTCATCTTCAAGCGGGAACTTTTGTGGCGCTGCTCTGTTTTCAGCAGCACAGCAGCGGGCAGCGCCAGAAAGCCAAGCGAATTAGCAAATTTCCATTCTGGTTAGGCCACATCCGATTAAAGTTAGGCCAGCCCAATTTAAGAAATGTCAACACGATGATCCTGGGCCCCTGGCCAGGAGCAAATATTTTATTCATTCTAGAGCCCAGTGGCTTATCCCCCCACTTTAGGGGTTTGTTTTGCAGGGTCAGGGCCCAGTGTTAACTTCCTGGATCTTGCCTCAACAAGACAAAGACTTAAAAATGTAGTGGAGAAAATGGCGAAGTATTGCACAAAAAAAAGTATTGAATTATTGGTATATGTGAAGGCGCAGATTGAGAAGAAGCAGGTCTTCGGCGTCTCATGAATAAGTTTGCAGCTGACACTGACAGGCTTTAGTTGAGTGGAAGGAAGTCACTCATGGGTTTGGTTGAAAGTTGAAACCTCATTAGTCCATTGTCCCAACAACTGATGCGCTGATGGCCTGATTACGGGTAAATGGAACTCAATCGCCGATCAAATTGCAGCATGGAAAGAGTTCCCCCAACAATAGTGTGTGACTGAATACAAAGTAGACTGAAAATAAACTCTTCAATAAAATCTCCCAGCTTCCAAAATGAGACCAGATCTAATTTCGAAGGATTCATTTAAAACGGAAGAATCATTCAAGAAAGCGGAGACATTTACGCAGAGCCAGCCACCTTTCCCACAAAGGATTCATATGTAACTAGCATCTTATGATTCACAGTTCTCAAAATTCCCCAGACTCATCACTTATCTCATCAACAGTTGTCACAGTTCGTTTTCACTGTTGATTTTCCAGCCTGCGGCCTTTTTTGTATGTGTTGGTACTTTCAGGTTGCAACATTTTTTTTAATAAAAAAAAAGCCAATAACATGCTCTGATCGGTTCAGTTTTCATGCCAAAACAGGAAAATAACTCACATGGACCAAAGTGGCCAAGGATTAGACAACTAGATCAAGAACCAAATAGTTACATTTTGCGCTCTCAAATATTAGACAACAAGATCAGAAAAGCTGCATCCAACAAATTGCCGGATAAATAACAAATATTTATAAAGAAACATCCAGTAATACAAGCAATCATGTACACTATGTATAAACCTGATCATCTTAACCTTTGTCGGCAAGTAATATGTACATGGACAGGCAATCTCCCATCAATATTCACCTTTATCAAGCAAGCACGGCAATCCCACCCCAGGGTTTAACCATGTAATCACCTCCATGTATATGCTACTTCTAACAGACGACGTCACACTGTTTTCATACTTACATCTAACCTGCTGTCAAAACCTCATTAATGCATGCACCATCATGAATGCATGTCCTTCACAATTTCCTCAACCATATCTCCAATAATGTGACATTCCACCTCTCTTCCCAAAATATTAGTTTCATCATCCATCAAACCAGACCAAGGGGTGGATTCTAGATCCTGCGCCACCATGCTATCAAGTGAGTAGTAGCATCTATCATTTGGAGGATATAATTTGATATGGATATTCTCCCACACAGAATTCAACAACTTCCTTCCCCGAGGAGTTGGCAATATAGAGGAACCAAGAAGCTTTCTCCTGAACCTAGACATGGTTACCGGAGGCCCAAGTATGGTTGCAAGTGCTTCATTCAACAAATCAAGTAACACTTTGTGATCTGCCTTCTCATTCTGATAATTTCTAGCGCTATCATTCTCCTTGGCCAATTTTCTATAAGAATCTTCCACTTGTTCAAAGATTGATTTACTGATAAGCTTCGCTAATGGGTCCCATCTAGATAAGGATTTGTCACATGATCCATCATACAAACCAGAAGCAATAAGCAGATCTCTTACATATTCTTCGGCATGGTCCTCTAGATCCACCATTTCAGATTCAATAGGCTCCTGTTCAATTGTTATGTCGTCTGCCCCATCAGACTCAAGTTCATTCAGTTGCCTCCTCAGCTCTGATGATTAATAAATAAAAGGATTGTCATAGAAGAATTTGAAGAATTAGGCTGCAATAATATCAAGTACCAACAAATAGTTGCTCATTATGTGGACAATAGCAAAATTGGACTGGAATGATCAGGTGCCAGATCTAGACAAGGATTATGCTGCCTATAGCTATCCATTACGTGATACTATAATGTAACAGAAACAAACATGGTATGGGACAATAGTTGTTTCCAATTCAGGTAAAAGGGCTGTTACACAACTATTTACATCTTTGAACTGTTACACTTTCATGTGAAAAAAGAAGAGCAGATTAGGAATTTGTTAAGATGGTTCTTATTCAAGCCAAGTTACAACTTAGCACAAAGTATTAGAAAATTTTGACAATAATCCAAAGGATATGAGAGCAAAATGCTATTGACCCTTGAAACTGAGGATATGATAGTTGAGACAAAAGGAAGGGCAATAAAGAAAGCTAAAAATAACCTACACTGTAGTAAATGTCATTTTCAATATGAGTAATGTGGTCATACAATCAAGGAACAGGGAATACATTTTTGCCAATTTCTCATATAGCTGAGTTAAAAATTAACATGCTTACATGCTTTATGTATGAAAAGGGAAGTTCCATACCATTCAAATTAGAGCTGATCTCTTTGAAAACCTGTGGTACAGCATTATCTTCAACCAAAGTCACATCCGGTGTTGATATTGGGCTGAGATAATCCACTTGCCTCCAAAATTCTTCATGTGTGCTGCTGCAAACAGACGCCGGGCTGGGAGGTACCTCAGTATAATTCTCCTAAGACCACAAAGATATATTGATTACAAAATAATCAGAAATGGAAAGCGTATCTAAACGGATTACAAAACAACCAAAATGGAAAGTGTATCTAAACGAGCTCTTAGTTTAAAACAAGAAACTGGATAAGTGCCCTTACATGCCTCTCACCGAAGTTCATAACAACTGTCGGTCCACTCAAGATATCTTTTGCAGGATCATTATCAGCATTGTATGATTCCACCATTGATTGAATCTTCTTGCCAAACAGCCTCCGTCTAAGCGTATTAGAAACTTTTTCTTTCAAATTGAACTTTTCTTTCTTCCCTTTTCTAACGTCTATTGACACATTTTCAATGCCTTCATGCTTCCTCCTGATCTGTGCACCAGTTACAATATGGCGATCCTCTAAAAGCAGCTTCCCAAATGATGTTCCTGAGACTGGGGCTGACAAAGACCTAATGAGATTTCTAGGGGACAGTTCCCTGTTTAGCAGCCCAACATCATCTCCACGCCTGAAAGATCGGTTTTGCATTTCTTGTTCATCTTTAACAATTTCCCAGTAGTTCTGCTCATTTCCAGACTTTGACATATCTTGTAGTTGTTCCAGCCTATCCCTTCCATTATCAAACACAGATGATGCAGAGCCGCCAGTGGAAACTATTGGTACATCCAACTGTGTTTCTTGCTTTAGAACATTCCTTAGTCTCTCTGACAAGAATCTTCTTGTATCTTTGTTAATGAACTCCGGGGAGCCTAGTCCATTGAACTGAATTTCACCTCTATATGATCTGGTTGATTCTGATCGGACTAAACTCATTCCAAGATCCCTAGTAACATTTTCTCTGACCTGTTTTGCTATATGCTTAGCAATTTGTCTTGGATCAGATGGCTTTTCACTGTAAGGGGTCTCAATTCCACTTCCTCTGACCACAGAACTCTTTTTAAGAGTTTTACCTTGCAGTTCCAATTTTAGTCGTTCCCTTACCTCCTCAAGAAAATCTTCTATACTACCTCTGTCTCCAAAAGTGCCAGAGGAACTGGTCCATGATTCTACATGATCACAAATCCTATCAGGACCAGGCTTCAAAATCACTATTCTTGTAGGAGCAGCATCTACTTTCTCGTTATAATCTATCATGGAAGGTAGCTGAAAATCCTTATTCATGCTTTGTCTTCTTGATTCTTCTTGCTCAGCTGTAAAGAGTTCTAATTTATGCCTGTGATGATGCAAACACCTTTCACGCAAATTTTCTTTTACTGTAAACCTCTTGGATTCCACAGGCTTCTCATGCACTGCTCTTATAGAATCTGCATAAAGTGCCATCTTTTCCTTTTTCAGTTTCTCTTGAGCAAGTTGATGTGTAGAAATGCTTCCAACATCAACAACCTTTGAACATTCCCTAAGCCTGGCTGCTTGCCATGCCTCAAATTCTTTCTTAAACTTTTGCAGTTCTTCCTCCTGAGGATGTTCACGATGCCTAGGCTTTCCGAACTTCTGGTTGGTATTCCATCTCTCAGCATCTCTGTCTCTACTACCGTAGATAGAGTCAACTTCCATTTGCTTTGCGTAGTTTGAGTTAGAAGCCAAATGGACAGCTGAGCCCTTGGCATTTTTTTCCCTTTTAGAAAACTTGACTGGCTGGTTATCATTCTTTTTCTCAACTGGTTGAACTGCAGATTTTGTATCCAATGGCAACACATCCATCCCCATCAATCGGGCAACAATACTAGGTGAATTCTGTCTGGTGTTAGATTTTTTGGACATCTCCTCACTAATCAATTTCTTCATTGAAGCCTCAGTTTGATAACAGTTCTTTGCTGCCCAATCTTCTTCTACTTGATAAGAGTACTGAATTCATATAAATTGCATTTAGTATAGAGGGAGAGCTGCGTAAGAAATATTTACATGATAATTTTATTTCACTAAATTTTGTTAGAGTTAAAAGTCATTGTAGAATTACTTTGGCCCCAACTAAGAAGGGAAATTAATGAAGGATGACAGCTTTAATACAAGATACTGATTTCAGGTATAACACGACAAAGTTAAAGAGACAAAACAACAAAAAAACTGTAAAATGGAGCTATGTGGCTCATCAGAAATAGATGCATATGTCTCATCTTGAGATGATCAAAGATTTTAACCAAAATAAAAGGTTCAAAATATCAAAAGCAAAGAAAAATTAAAAAAAAAAAAAAAGACTCAACCTAAAACATACATCTAGCCAAAAAGACCCAGCACCACTTAAAAGGTGAACTCCTTGACAATCCATTCGTAAGACAACCCAATTAGACAGTATCAGTAAACCACATCATGCAACAAAAAGAACACAGTCTCAAATGTTTAAAAAAAATAAGCTTTACTCTATAATTCTAAATCTATAATAAGGAATCTGATGGAAAAATTACCGGCAGATCCCCTGTAGCACAGTAGCTCTGAGAAGTTTCTAATTGCAGCTCCAAGCTATTTCGTGGAGCTTCCAGGCCTGCAGAGTGGCAGAATCAAAAGCATTACTGTATAGCCCTATAGAAATTAAAACTAGAAAGAAATAAAAGTTATCATGTCATTCGCTTTTAGGAGGAATGACATTCTCGTTCTATATCCTCTTAACAATTAAAAGATGATAATCTACAAAATGACCCCAGAAATACTGTAAAAATTAGTAGAGTAGCTCAACCATGAAGAAAAACATTGCCCTGATAAAAAAACACATGTTTTTCCTGCATTACTTCCTTGGTTTGACCTTAATCAGAAATAGCAACTTCTGGAAATTTCTACTTCACTGATAAGAAATAAACTTTATTTTCACCTAACAACATTATTACTATGAGAATCAGTCAAGATATTACCCACAATGTTGAAACTTGACTATGAAGTTAGTAAATTTAGAATGGAGGTATAGCGAATAGATTGAAGTGCATCTTCAGTCAGGAGAAGGACAAAAACAAGATATCTAACTTCTGAATCTGAAGAGTTCTAGTTCTACCAACGAGACTTTTCCCAATGCATAAAAAGAATAATAACACTTACCACCAACAAGTTTCTTCTGTGCAAGAATTTTCCTGGCCATGCTGCCTTGATGGAAATCAAAAAGACGAAATAAGCCTCCCATGCAGCCAATGGATCTACCAAATCATTTTGTCACTTCTTATCACTCCAAAAATCAGTCTTCCCCTACATTGAAGAAAATCACGCACTTGGCTAATATCCTGTAAAGCCACAAATGAAACAAGACATTGATTATCTTACCTCATCAGATAAAAAGCATATCACCTATAAGAACTGACTGCAGGCCGCTGCATGACCTTCTTTTTTTTTCTGTTTAATGGTTATTGAGAGGTTTTCACTGAACTTAGTCTAGTTTAATCCAACATAATCTCATAAGACTTTAATATCTGGATATCTTTATATAAAGATATTAGACACCAATTTTGCAGAACAAATGAAAATAAGCACCAACAAACAAATAGAGCTGTATGTTATAGGTGAATAGATGCAATCAGCATCGATTGACCTCATAAATTGAATTAGTTATTATGGTGATCAGCTTCTATCTGAATTATATAATTGCACAAAAAACAACCAACATTAGCGGCTTATAATTGCTTCAAGGTGCAAAAGTTCAACTAGGAAAACTTTTGGCTCCTAAGCTGCATGTCAAGGTTGCTACAGTAATTTCATTCTAATCAAACTTTGCAAGCAGCCAAGCAAATGTGCATATTCAAGAACAACATTTACTTTATCGGGTAGATCACTGTTGATGTGCTCCCTAAAACCTTATGTAAACACCAAGAAGTATTGAGCTTCCTCGATTATGTGTAAAACAAATTCCTCAAGCTGAAAACATAATCTAAAAGCCAATTTTATACCCTTTGAAAATATCATCCAACTTCTTGATTATCGTAATTTCACAAACATGCAAAATGAAGAAGGGGGGTACTGAGTGAATGAATTGCAAAACAATTATGCAGGCATCAAATTATAGGCAATTCTCAAATCCATGCAAGAAAGTATATCAAAAAATTTGAAACAAAAAGATGAAAATAAAGGAAGATTTCTTTCTAACCAATACTAATGATATAAAGGAATTTAAGAGGAAAAAACTTAGAAATCAAAAGACAAAGGGGAAAGAGGAGGAAGTACAATTCATCTAAAGTTGTGCTGACAGCTAAGCACAAAAACACATGGAAATTTTCTCGAATTTTCAAGTTTTAAATAAAATTCCAAGTTTCAACCCAATCAACAATTCAACATCCATCTTGTCTTTTAATAAAGCTTAGACTAACGTAAATGATTATGATGATCTAAGCAACAGCTCCTCCTAAATTTAAAAGAGATTTTTTTTTCTCTTAGTTTGAAAATATAGCAACATGATCATTTTAGAAATAATGCTCATTCAAAAGAATAGTTAACATCAAGGAAACACCTTAAACAAGAACAATTTGAAGACCTTAAATTTCACGCTTTTCGCATTGTTTAAGACCCCAGGAAGCTAAAAGTGGAACTGGGTTTTCAATTCATTCTCCAGGAAACCCGAAACAATACAAAGCTTCCATTTTGATCCTTTTTTTTTTTTTTTGAAATGAGAAGCATCCGAAGCCAAGCAAACGTAATTGAAAAAAACGTACCCTTTGTTTTTCAAAAAGCGAGCAAAAGACATTGCTGAATGCTACGGAGGAAGTCGAGAAAAATGAAGAGACATATCGTGGAAATGGTGTCGGTTTGAAGATGCAGATAGCAATGAACAGGAAAAAGGTAGACAGACAGAGAGACGGTTGAACAAAAGTGGGAATTCAAAGCTAAGATTTGTATGATGAGAGGCGGAGGACTAAATAATAAATAATTAATTATCAAACGTTATGATGGTGATCGTTTAATAAAAGTTGTGCCTTTTAGTGGGGAAGTCTTCTAACCCCAAAAAAATAAATACTTTTTTTCTTTAGTCCTTAATTTTTCCTTTCAGTTTTATTTTTTATATGGAGTTTATAATATGAAAATAAAAGAAAGAATCTTAAATTAAATTAAATTTTGTATTTTTATTTTTATTTTTAATAAATAAAAATACGGAATATTGGTACATTTTCCATATAATTTCAAACTTTTAAAGTATGGTACGTTGATGGGCGAGGGGCCAACACCCCCACCCCCACATCTCAACACCGATTCCCTTCATAAATCGTAATCATTCCCACAAACCGATGCCTAAATCTCGTCAAACTGAAGCATTTCCTTTTCCTCCTTAAACGATATTCCGTTCTGATTCCTTTTATTCAGAAAATAAATTTAAGTAACTAACAAAATAAAAACTGTTTTTTTAATAGAATTGACAATTACATCTTATTTTTAGAAATTAAAAATTTTAATTTAATATTTATAATTTTTTATTTTAAATTAAAATCTATTTATAGAAAAATTTGAACTGGAAAAGGTCTGGCATAATCAATATAATAATATTTAATAAATCTGATCGATAGAATATATTAAATGAAAAAAGTTGGAGTCCCATGTAACAAACAGCTCATAAACAGTTGCTGATGTTTTGCCTACCACTCCTCCAATTGGCGCCATAGTAAAAGGGTCTGCAGATTTTTATAGTATTTATTTGTTGTTGCCTTTGCCCTTCCCAATTCCAATGCTCAGAGTGTGTCAGTGTATTTTTATTCCATATATCATATACATATCCCTGAAGCTAAATAAAAGGGAATGTGTCTGTCACTCTTCTTTCAGGCTTTGACCGTTGCGTCTGCTCTTCCATTCTTTTGTCTTTACCCATTTTTCTAACCACCTTCACGAATCGGTAGCCGATAATAAACCCCGCTTATGAAATTGAAAGCTGCTAACTAAACAAATCGGACCATGATTACCTTTAGCTAGCTTGCTTGCTGCCTTTAATGTCTTATGTATGTTCATTCAATTTCCAAGAATCTTAAATTCTCTATGCAACAGCTGGGATAGTCGAAAGCATCCAGGAAAAAGTGGTTTGTCGCATTGTTTCATACACATTTAAATATCAAATGTCCATGCAATTAGTCATATAGATGGATTTTTCTTAATCAAATTCTAAGAAGAATAGTACTCAATGTCCAACTGAGACATGTATATGCCTTTCGGCTACCTAAATCAACAACCCTTACCCATAGCTTTATTTCTCACAATAATTAATGACTCATCGTTGAGAAATACGCTGTACTTGCATTACTGCAAAAGTTGTCAGCACATTTCCTTTCCTTAATCAACAATATTAAATAAATTTAATAAGGGAAGGGTCTTTGAATTAAAGAAGAAAAGCGTCCATTAAAGAAGAATAAAAGGAGAAAAGCACAAGGCTTACAACTCAGGAAGATGATCAGATGAAGTTGTCTGTGGGGGCAATTCGGCCCTTTTTGTATGTAAAAAAGCAACTCCTTATCTAATGATGTAGGGAGCGTCCTTCATGTGCTTGAAAAGCCCCCTATGCTATGCCATGATGCTCAAATGAGATGAATGTGCCTCTCTATTATAGCTTTGATGACTTGCAACTTGTGGGTTGGGGGACCAAAGACTTTTGGCAAACGCTGCTGATTGTGAACGTGGCCGCTAATTCACAAGGACAAGTGGTTTTCGTTGGGAAAATGGTAAAGTCTGTCATCATTTTGTTGGGGTTGGGGCGGCTTTCTCTGCTATTGGGGGAGCTTGTGAATTGTGATTTTGTAATATTACGTGGACCACGTGTCTGCTCCTCAGGATCAGCTTGGACTTGGGCTTTGACACTTGAATCTCGACGCTTTGTTGCACCTTTCAAGACCCAACATTAGAATCAACCAGGCACTACCCTTAATCTTTGACTCGGCCGATGAGGAGGCCCAAAGAGGGGCGATATCGCTACCTCCATTAGGCCTCACTTCTTGAGGCGGACTATGAAGCCTGTATGATCAAGCCAACAACAAAAGTTAATACTAGCAGTTCGGAATAATAGAAATTCAGCCATTAACAGGGTGACAAATTTGGCAAGGATTTTTTTTGGTCGAAGTATTTAACAAAAAGAGATCTTAAGAGTTGTTTTTGAGCAACAAGATGATTTGTCAACATTCTTTGATCTACCTTCCTGATTTGTAACTTCCCAGTATATTGGGTGTGCAAGTGTTTTCATCAAAAACCGTATACTAATCTGTTAAGGATATATCATTATATTTATAGATTGACAGTTACATGCATTGTGGTAGGAATTTGATCCTTCAAAAAGATCTTCACATCTTTATTTTCTTTATTTGGTGGATGAAAATGACATGCATGTCATATCCTTTGGATAGGGTGAAATTAAAAGACCAAATTGGAACAACAAGAACGGATTTGATGAAGGAAAAAAATATTAAAAAATATTGAAAAAGCAAGGAAGAAATTACTTTCGGTAGTGCCACGTTTAACAGAACGAGGAAGACGGACCCACATTAAATCGTGTCATACCACGTGTAGTAGGTAGGTGGTCCAAGGAGTTTTGTCGGTTTTGGCCAGGAGTGAGCCATTGGAAAGTCAAATCGTCAAGGCAACGTTATCCTTGTCAACAAAATGAAAACATCAACCTCCACGTGTACACATCAGGTGATCCAAACCATTGATTTGTTTATGTTTGTGACTCGCTGACTGACTACGTTAAAAAAAAGGAAGAAACCGCTCGACTCAAGGTGTCCGCGTCGAAGAAACTGTAATAAGCCGTCCCTCGCATACTCACTTTAACATTAACAAAGAGAAGTGTTTTGTGTTTGTCTCTTTTGTGTCTTTGGTCGGTTATCTCAAAGCAGAATTTGGATTTACAATTAATCTGCGGTTGGATCATTGGACAGTGGAATAGTAGGATTTGGAAGATTGATTTACAAGTCACATAGAATCCATGTTTGTTAACGTGAAGAAGCTGGTGGAGAAGGCTTCTAATTCCAAGAAGGTAAGTCACCGAATTCCTTCGATCCATCTGCTCTGTTCCTCTTTGTTTCTTTCTTTCTTCTACAAAGCGGAAAGCAGTTGGATTTCTTTGCTTCTATGTCGTACAATGCTTATTTCTGAATATTTACTTTATCAACATTATGCTATGCTGTGCTGTTCTGTGTTTTCAATGTTATTTTCTCTGATTTCACTTCACCATCAAAAGATCTGCTAGGTTTTTAGTAAATTATAATTAGTAGTTATAATACTGGTTGAAAGCTGAAGAAACAGTTAAGACTTGTGATCCCCCTTTATTCCTCTCCAAGAGTCTGATAAAGTTCCCTTACCGTCTTAGATCAGACTCAATGTCAAATCCACAATTAACGATCGTTACAAAAATTTCTCTTGTCCTAAAACTTTTGGTTTTATGGTTGGGATGATGAAGACTTTCTGGCTTTCTGCGGGCCTGGCCCTGGGGATTGGGATGTATGCTTTCTATTTTCTATCCCAACGGATACTTAGTTTTTAACAAAATTTATGTTCATCTTTGATTTGGTGGGTGGAATTCAGCAGTCAAACCTGTCCATGTGAAGGGCGGTGGTATTTTTATTGCAAGAAAGATTGGATGGACATGGGACCCAATCCAATGCATTTTTAATGTCAATAAACTGTGTTTTGTCAGCGAGGGACCCACTTGAAAGCATCTTTATTATTATATTTTTAAAATAAATTGGATGAGATTGGTGGCAGAAATTTCATCCATACTCTGCCTATTCTTGTTAGTTACCTTTTTGCCGTTCAAGCTTGATGAGGTTGTCTTAATATTCCACCATTACAGGACTACTGAATTATCTGATTTCTGAACAGCAAAGGAGTGTCTAACCCCTAATGTGGCTTCTTTATTAACATAGGCTATAGAAAAATGTCAGTGTAAACATTGATTACAATATTCAATATATGATACTAACTCTTTCAATAGTAACTTTCTAGGCATACATTGTTAGAGCTAGCAAGAAAAATTGCATCTGGGATATAACAAGCTGTTGACTCTATGACTGTTTCTATTGCAGCCTGGAGGAAATTCTGATGGTTTAAAACCTAGTGATGTGGACCCACATATGGTATTTCATTATGGGATCCCATTGGGTTGTTGCATGTTTGCTTATGATTCCATTCAAAAGATACTTGCAGTATCTACTATGTAAGCTCCTTTTTCCATCTCTTGAATGAAGTCATGTTTCACTTCTTCATTGGCACATAAAATTTACAGAATGGTAATGCATGGATATCCTTTTTCATAGAGCAATGGATGGATACATCTGAAATCTGTATGTATGATGATATCCTACAAACTGTTCTTCATTTTCTATTTTAAATAAATTTTCTTTCTTCAGGGATGGAAGGATTAAACTCTTAGGAAAAGATAACTCTCAAGCTCTACTTGAATCTGATGATATGGTCCCAAGCAAGTTTTTGGAGGTCTTTCATTACCTTCAACTGTTCTGCTTATACATACCAAATTATCATGCATAATTCTATATCTGTATTCCTTGTTGCCATGTAAACTTATTTTCATTTTTCATCAAGCTGTTTTGAGTTACTAATATGAATCATGATTTCTCTTCAGTTTGTCCAGAACCAAGGAATCCTAGTAAATGTAAATTTCAAGAACCATATTGAGGCAAGTTACACCCTTGGTTTAATTGCTGAGTTTGTCGGGTCAGATATGAGAGTAGTTAGCTATGTTTTCTTCTTTTGCTTTATTTCCCCTACAAATATGTTTTCTTCTTCTTTTTCTTTCTTTCCCCTACGGGAATTTATTTTTCAATGGATATTTTTACGTAGGTTTGGGACTTGGACAAGAATCTCTTGTCTCATGTACACGTCTTTAAAGAAGAAATTACTTCTTTCACAATAATGCAAA